TTACTGAAATCATACACTTTAACAGCAAAAAATATGCTATTCATTTAAAAAATACATTTGTTTCTCAACATAGATTAATTAAAAAATATGTATTACCTAAAACAATACATTGTAATCAAAAAATATAATCCAAATTCATGACCCTTTCTTAAACCTGCATCCAAAATTAGTATCCAACATACACTGTGCTAAAATCCTGGCACACATAAGTCTCTGGTATAAAAAGCCAAAACAACACTGAAAGCTTAAATTAGCAAAGATTATAAAATATACATTGATATAAATGGCATTTTTACAGGCAAACAGTCATACACTAACAACATAATGAAAATAATAAATTAAAACACAGCGAATGTTTGGCTTGTAAGGAGATTTTCAAAAAATTGCACCTTCCAAAAAGAAATAACATTTTCAGAACACCACACAATAACATGTGAAACTACAATAAATCACATATGGCTGTTTCCTAACAGCAGACTAAGAGAATTTACACATCTGCTCCAATCAATGACGAATTATGTATCCCCTCCAATCCATGAAGAATTATGTATCCCCTCCAATCCATGAAGAATTATGTATCCCCTCCAATCCATGAAGAATTATGTATCCCCTCCAATCCATGAAGAATTATGTATCCCTTACAATCCATGAAGAATTATGTACCCCCTCCAATCCATGAAGAATTATGTATCCCCTCCAATCCATGAAGCATTATGTACCCCCTCCAATCCATGAAGCATTATGTACCCCCTCCAATCCATGAAGAATTATATATCCCCCCCAATCCATGAAGAATTATGTATCTTGTGCAGTTATAGAAGAATTATGTTTCTTCTGTATAGCATTACGTAAAGTTAACGTATGTGAATTTAGCAGCAACCCCTATGAACATATTTATTCTGCACAAGCTGATGTGATGGTATATTGACGGTTACCAATGAAGTAGTCAAATCTTTCAAACGTAACGCCCCCATCTTATATCTGATGTTTGTTAATGCAATCACCAGCTAGTGTCGACATGAACAAGAACAACCATTTTCCTAAAAACTAGAAGTGATGAAATTTGAAGTCCAGAGGCAAACTTGCATTTCTCAACCATATCCATCTCATTGCTCTCGCAAAGTTTTGCTTCCTGAGCAGAAAATGAAACTGCACAATACATCCTGATACGATGCCATTTTTTACAAACTGAATATTCACTGGACCCTGCGGGTTTTTCCTACAGAAGATTAACGCTGACTCACATAACACAATCAAAACTTTTGGGCTCAGTAACTGGCTATTAGTCGACGATCAAATGTTGGTTTCCGTTTTCTCACCATCAGGCGTGGGAGTTGTTGTGATGTTGTTACTGTCTTGGCTGTTGCTCCTCCCCATGTGAACACTGGAGCGTGGTAAAGTGTTAGTGTGACAGTTATTTGCATGTGCTGCAGCTCGCGGGAGTGTACCGTTGCGGCGTGTGGACCCGTGATGAAACAGACTGTGGTGGTGGTGGCGGGGGGAGGAGCCGTTTGCTGTGTGCTCGTCTTGTAGATGTTTACAGTATGTGGCCATAACTTTGTGCAGAAACAGGTAGTCCTCCTGACAACAGATAATAAACAAGAAGTAAACAAACAATAAACATCCATTACACGCACACAGAAGAAACCAACAGGACAACAAAAAAGATCCGTGATGGAGAGAAGGGAGAACATTAATAAACAAGACATGATCTGTAGGAAACAAAATTAACATAAAAACTTGCCAACATATAAGTGCAAATACTAGTGCAAACTAGTTTCATGTTTCCATTTTATGTGACTTTATTTCCCTGCTCGTGTTTTACAATTCTTGTTTGTGAACAAAGAAGACACCTGTGTATTGCCAGGTATGTTTTGCTGTATCTCGTATTGCTCTGATTCTTGTTTGTAAACAAAGACGACACCTGTGAATTGCCTGGTATATTTTGCTGTCTCACGTATTGCTCTGATTCTTGTTTGTAAACAAAGACGACACCTGTGAATTGCCTGGTATATTTTGCTGTATCACGTATTGCTCTGATTCTTGTTTGTAAACAAAGACGACACCTGTGTATTGCCTGGTATATTTTTCTGTACCTCGTATTGCTCTAGTTCTTGTTTCATACTATGCAAAGACTGTTCAAAACATTTGCCTGAATGTGTATGCATCTTTTTCTCTAAATTCATTTAGTATCCCTACCAAGTTATTCCATATACACACTGTACTGTTGTTGTAGTTTTTCAACATTATCTAAAAGATCATTCTCCTGGTCTACTTCATGCTCTACGTCCCTCTCTATCTGCCTTATATGGAGACATCACTTCCAAACTTCCAATCTTGTACAATTTCAGTATTTGCTTCCTTACCATACATCTAAGGTCAACAGCCACAATTTTGTTCTTTTTCTTTAGAAATGTCCTCTCAATCTACATTACCATCAAGTAATGGCAATAATTGATCAATAATCTGTCACAATTCAAAACATGTACACTTGTTTAATAAAGAACAATAACCTTCTAAATTCTTTTTAAAAAAAAAGTTTTTTGAGAGGTGACAAAAGAAAAATGTATGGTTTGGGAATATACTAAAGACAGCATAGAATGACATGATACCAGATTGTACAACAATTATTCTGGCTATGGAGAGCTGTAGTGATTGATACATATCTAAACCTAGTAACTGTAATAATCTTATAAACTCTTCACCTGAGACTTGAAGATGCCAGGTCTCTTGTAGTGGTAGAGCTTGCACACCTGGTAAAAGTCTGCACACCTCTCAGACAACAGCTGGTCCCTCAGTGTCCACAACGCACAGAATGTGCCTGCCTCCACACCTCCAAACCTGTAGAGATTGAAAACCACACAACTGGAAAATTTGGGAGTAGAACCAAGTGCCTAGATTCTGTCTTCACATATCTTGGTGGTCATGTAGACATACTTTATAGCACTGCTTTGTTTAAACATATTTCTACTGTCACTACTGTCTGTCTGTTTTACCAATTGTTATGGCGGTGTAGACAGGGGGCGCTTCAGCCTGAGGATTTAGGACTGCATAGCTAGTGTGTAGTTAGGGTGTTTGATTTTGCCCTTGACAGAAAAACTCCATCAACTTACAAGGGCGAACCCAGGTCTCTCACATGTGTCTAAAATATTTATATTCACATGAATCAGGAAAAAAACTGAGAAAATAATGGGCATAATTGTAACAGAAAGTCAAAACAAGGGTCTTAGTTTGAAGTGCAGAAAAACAGAAGTTTAAAAAGAAAATGGACCCACCAAAATGCAACATCACAGTAAATGGGACAAACCTCAAGCAAGCTGATAGGTTTCAGTACTTGGGTATCTTGACAATAGTAGATGCAAGATGTGTTAATGAAGTTAAATGTGGAATAGTTCAATGAATAAGGAAATGATCAAAAAGCTAAAGCGTTAATGATGGCATTTTAAGTTCCTGGCACCATTCTGTATTTCCAGATGACAACTTTTCACTGTGCTACAGGAAGACATGAGAACCACCGCCCGTGGTGATACCAATAAAGGAAAGAGTTGAAGTTTCTTCTCTCCATAGCCCGAAACTTGGGCAGTACTGTAAAGATCATGTTTTACCCATGCAGCATGATCCCTCTCTCAGCTTGCTTTGTTAACTCCAAAAGAAAGGTAACACCAATATGCTTTTACAAAAAATCATGCTGAAGAAGCTGCCAGTTTTGATTTTAAAGAATAGTGACAAAAATATCAGAAACACTGAATTAGTTATAGCTGCAGGTAAGACCAAATAATTCATCAAAACCAACATGAAAAGAACACATGAATTATATAGGTTATAACAATATTAAAACATACATCGCCAACACATCATTCACATTAACAACACATCATGCACATTATTAACACATCATTCACATTAACAACACATCATGCACATTATTAACACATCATTCACATTAACAACACATCATGCACATTATTAACACATCATTCACATTAACAAACACATCATGCACATTATTAACACCAATTCACATTAACAACACATCATGCACATTATTAACACATCATTCACATTAACAAAACATCATGCACATTATTAACACATCATGCACATTAACAAAACATCATGCACATTAACAACACATCATTCACATTAACAACACATCATGCACATTATTAACACATCATTCACATTAACAAAACATCATGCACATTATTAACACATCATGCACATTAACAAAACATCATGCACATTAACAACACATCATTCACATTAACAACACATCATGCACATTAACAACACATCATGCAGGTCGTCTGAATTATTGTGCCTAACACAGCCAGCTGGAAGAACTTCCACCCCTTACATCTTCTTCTTTTTCTCTGCCTTCACTGGCTGTAAACTCTGGTTGTTCATCCACCTCTCGACTTTAGTCTTGTTCCAGAATCTAAGCACTGCACACATATTCATTTTACAAATCTGACTTATTTGTATGCAGACTGTTGGTTCTTTGCCTCTCAGGCAGAGACACTCCAACTATGAAAGAAGCCCCCAGTTAGTCAACTCTAATGAGATGCTTGTTGGGGAGGTCTAATCTTGTTTCCCCCACAATGGGGCCTCAGAACCCACAATTCCCTTGCCCTTATAAACTTCCATACTCTGCATTTCTCTGATATCCTGTGTCCACATTCATGCTGTCCAATATCCTGTGTCCACATTCATACTGTCCAATATCCTGTGTCCACATTCATACTGTCCAATATCCTGTGTCCACATTTGATATTTGATATTGCCAAGCTATTTCAATTTGCAAGATATGATGCTGTTAATAAGCCAGTTTCTAATGTGTTCAGACTGTTCAGACCGTCAGAATGTTGCCTTCTTTGTGTTTCATGGTTTACTGAGTACTTGTGGGTAAAATATATCCATGGCTTATGTAACCACAAGAAATCTGCATTAAAATAAAAATAAAAATGTAGTCCCTGCACGGGTGAGAAAGAGCCATTTACCTGTCCATGACAATAATGGGCCCACATTCCAGCGAGTTCAAGAAGCCATGAGTCTCAACAATAACGTCCAATACTTTGTGTAGCTCTGTACAGAACTTGGGCCAGTTGGTCACACACAGGATGCGGGTCATCAGTGTGTAGTCGTACTGAAATGGTGTCATTTAGATGCAAGATGGGTATGAAAGCATTAAAAAGTAATGCGGGTCATCAGTGTGTAGTCGTACTGAAATGGTGCCATTTAGATGCAAGATGGGTATGAAAGCATTAATAACAAGCTTGACAGAACAACTATAAAACGAACTGCTGAAACATCTCTGGTAAATAACTAAATAATGAAAACAATAGCCAACCTCAGTGAATTTATTGGGTTTTCTACTCCAGCAATGGTGTGACATCATTATCATTATTGTCCTATTGTGCATTATATGTCACACAGAGCCTGCAATCTAAGCCCCCCCCCCCCCCTCCCCACCCCCTTCCGTTCTGTTCTATCCTGAACCGTCCTTCCAATACCATGGATGGAATTTTCAGTCCAGCATCTCTGGCCTCTCTCAACAATGTTCATCTTAGCGTTTCTCTCAAAAGTCCTCGTTTTCTTAACCCATTTGTTTCCCATTAAATTTCTTGTTTGGTGATTCTCTGCTTGCTTCTTCTCAGGATGTGCCCACTCTAGCGCTATCTAGTAGACATGTAATACTGCCTAGATTTTTGACATGCACATTAATAAATAATGACCTTCGTGGTCATCAGTTCCATTTCAGACTTCACCATCATTTGTGAGTGCAGACCTCTGGGAGATTTCTAGATACTTTCTCAGTTGCTGTGAACTTTGTGCTTTGTAAAACCTCACTTTTGTCTGCTTAAGCAGATAAAACTTGCAAATGTATACAGATTCACGGCACTGGCGATTCATCCAAATGCCAAACACAGAATTATTCTCGGTTCTTTCACCTTACTAATCATCTGTTCATTCCCGCACATTTTCATAACATAGTTCAGCTATTCTCATGATGTATAATCGTCATGATAAAAATCATGCTTATCTTTTCTGGCATGTGGCCTTTTTAAGCCCCGCCTCTTACACACAATTCATGATCATGAGCTGTTTAACAATACATCTCAGATGAGAAAGGCTGTGACGAGTCACTCTGCAGAGAGAGGCTGAGACGAGTCACTCTGCAGAGAGAGGCTGAGACGAGTCACTCTGCAGAGAGAGGCTGAGACGAGTCACTCTGCAGAGAGAGACTGTGATGAGTCACTCTGCAGAGAGAGGCTGTGACAAGTCACTCTACAGAGAAAGACTGTGACGAGTCACTCTGCAGAGAGAGGCTGTGACAAGTCACTCTACAGAGAGAGACTGTGATGAGTCACTCTGCAGAGAGAGGCTGTGACAAGTCACTCTACAGAGAAAGACTGTGACGAGTCACTCTGCAGAGAGAGGCTGTGGCGAGTCACTCTGCAGAGAGAAGCTGTGACGAGTCACTCTGCAGAGAGAGACTGAGTCATGTGGAATTAAAAACTGTGTGTTATGAAGTTGACTTGCCTGCATTTAAGCATGCTTTATTTACAAATAATGGTACCTACCACAAGTGATTACTTATAGAAGTTCCAATCTTGTTGCTACACTGATCTAATATAGGAACTTCTTTCAACTACTACATCCATACTCTATGAGAGACTCTATGTGGGTTCTAGGAACTTCTTCCAGCTGTTACATCCATACTCTATGAGAGACTCTATGTGGGTCCTAGGAACTTCTTCCAACTGTTACATCCATACTCTATGAGAGACTCTATGTGGGTTCTAGGAACTTCTTCCAACTGTTACATCCATACTCTATGAGAGACTCTATGTGGGTCCTAGGAACTTCTTCCAACTGTTACATCCATACTCTATGAGAGACTCCATGTGGGTTCTAGGAACTTCTTCCAGCTGTTACATCCATACTCTATGAGAGACTCTATGTGGGTCCTAGGAACTTCTTCCAACTACTACATCCATACTCTATGAGAGACTTCCAGGAACAACACAACAGACCAATTACTCAATCCACAAGCAGGTCACAGAATGTGAACAATTAGGAATTAGCTGAAACTGGATGTGATGGACTGAAAGGTGCAGATACTGCAGCCTTGCTGTCAACCACAATGTGCCAGCTGCCCTTTTAAGGGTGGACACAGAAGATGATTTCTGTGGAAGAATCAAAGCACACAGAAGACGATATTCTGTGGAAGAATCAAAGCACACAAAAGATGATATTCTGTGGAAGAATCAAAGCACACAAAAGATGATATTCTGTGGAAGAATCAAAGCACACAAAAGATGATATTCTGTGGAAGAATCAAAGGACACAGAAGACGATATTCTGTGGAAGAATCAAAGCACACAAAAGATGATATTCTGTGGAAGAATCAAAGGACACAGAAGACGATATTCTGTGGAAGAATCAAAGCACACAAAAGATGATATTCTGTGGAAGAATCAAAGGACACAGAAGACGATATTCTGTGGAAGAATCAAAGCACACAAAAGATGATATTCTGTGGAAGAATCAAAGCACACAAAAGACGATATTCTGTGGAAGAATCAAAGCACACAAAAGACGATATTCTGTGGAAGAATCAAAGCACACAAAAGATGATATTCTGTGGAAGAATCAAAGCACACAAAAGACGATATTCTGTGGAAGAATCAAAGGACACAAAAGACGATATTCTGTGGAAGAATCAAAGCACACAAAAGACGATATTCTGTGGAAGAATCAAAGCACACAAAAGATGATATTCTGTGGAAGAATCAAAGCACACAAAAGATGATATTCTGTGGAAGAATCAAAGGACACAAAAGATGATATTCTGTGGAAGAATCAAAGCACACAAAAGATGATATTCTGTGGAAGAATCAAAGGACACAGAAGACGATATTCTGTGGAAGAATCAAAGGACACAGAAGATGATATTCTGTGGAAGAATCAAAGGACACAGAAGGTGATATTCTGTGGAAGACACAGAAGGTGATATTCTGTGGAAGAATCAAAGGACACAGAAGGTGATATTCTGTGGAAGAATCAAAGGACACAGAAGGTAATACTCTCTGAAAGAATCAAAGGACACAGAAGGTAATACTCTCTGAAAGATTCAGCAACTGCAATCGAGCTGCCCTTGGGTTTTATTATGCCTGATGTTTTCAGCTGAAAATATCTGCCCAGCCCATGGATATCAGTTCACCAGACACACTGTCAGTTGTGGGTTCTCATGGCCTCATCTTTACCTAACCTAATCATCAAACCAAACCATTAGCTACCCAAGTCCTGGCCCCAGAGAAACATGACATTTCTCACCTGTATGGAATCTAGAATAAACTCTGCTGTCACAGTTCCCAAGTCATTGTTTGGAATGAGCTCATCTTTCATTGCAAGTCGGAAATTTCCAGAATCAACATCAATACTGCTGCCTTTGGGTGGCCAAAACTCTTTGTAATCCTGTGCATTAACAGAAGACATAGACTGATGTTGCAGAACAATTTAAGCAGTGATGTATGTGTGAGGTAGGTATCTCATGTTAATAAAACCAGATATATAAAGAGCATTCATCAGCAACCCTACCAGTGTTGGCGCCGAGGCCAACAAATTCTACTGAAAACAGATCCAATGTCTCGTCACAAGCATGCTGTAAAAAAAACGACTAATTATGGTTGTTTTCCTTTGAGTGCATCTGCCTGAGTGACGAGGAACCAATAGTCTGGACACAAAAAAGCCAGATCTGTAAAATAGTTGTGCATAAAAATTCAAGTTCTGGACAAAGATCAAGGTCTAGAAGTGGACAAACAAGCAGAACTTTCTTTTTAGTTACTGTAACCAAATCCTTGACTCGTGACTCCTTGAGTATGAAAGTATATGAGGCAGGAGAACTGGCGAGAGACCGAGTTTCTTTCAGGCAGACTGTGATGAGAGCGACGTTCTGCAAAGGACCTGCTACGTGATGACGAACCAGATCCTGGTCTCCTAAATATTTGTGCAGGCGTGAAAACGACCAATAGCATTAAGTATGCATCTTGTAAATAAGTCAGTACAGTCAGGTGGGAAAAGTGACATTGATAGGAAACTGGTCCCAGCTGAAATTGTTCATTTTGCCACTTCTTAGGGCAAAAGGAATGAAGCTGTTGTACAAGGTTTGGGAGCACAACAGAAGAAAGACACTTGGGAGTTAGAACCTGAGAGGGCCAGACTTCCCAAAAGTGTAAAGGTAAAGAAGGTTAACAAAAAAAACGGAGGGAGGGGGGGGGGGGGGGGGGGGGGGTGTGGGTGGAAGGGGAGCTACATGTGATGATCAGAAACTTGTTTGCTCCATGGTGGAGGGGAGACTACTGACATAGCTTTTGGAATGTACATAGATCTAAGATATTAATCATAAACGGGAAGGATTCAACAGTACATCATAAGAGTAAAAAGTTCTGCATATATCTGAGAGAGAAAAATGGTATCATAGATGACTTTGTATTTTCACAAGAATAGGTTATATAATATGATTATCATAATTGCTTACAAAGTACACTCAAATATATTAAACTTAACAATGTTTATATATATAAATATAAATTATTATAAATAGAACATAATCTATGCAATATAAAGTAACCAAAACAAGCATAAATATTTAAATGTCAGCTCTGTGGCTAAGTCGATGCGAAAGCTTCGTAATGCGGGGTTCGATCCCAGCTGCGGGTCATGAGCCTTGCATTGGTTTTGACAGTGGTATCAAGAAAGCCGACCGTCCAGAAAGCAATGGCAAACTACTGGATGTAAATTTGCCTAGAAAAACCACACAACAGCCAGGGGCTGTTGGGATTGGTTCTGCAACGTCCTGTAAAGGATACACAACTAACCTTAAATATTTAAATACTGAAATAGAAAGGGGGGAGGGGGGGAGGAGCAGCAAAAATACCTCATCTATAACTTAGATGGGTTAAATAGGATACACTGATTACCACTGCTACTGTTTATCATACACTATGTTTTTGTACAGTGAGGTGATTGCAGACTCAAGTACTTACAACATCATCAAAGGATGAGAACACAACAATGACAGGACTGGTCTTGACTAAAGTACTTACAATATCATCAAAGGATGATAACTCAACAATGACAGGACTGGTCTTGACTAAAGTACTTACAACATCATCAAAGGATGATAACACAACAATGACAGGACTGGTCTTGACTAAAGTACTTACAATATCATCAAAGGATGATAACTCAACAATGACAGGACTGGTCTTGATTAAAGTACTTACAACATCATCAAAGGATGATAACACAACAATGACAGGACTGTTCTTGTCCCACACCATCCTCCAGAAGTCCTCCATGGTGTCCTCTGTCGGGTGTTGGGTCACTATAAACTCTGAAGATTTCTTGTAGCCCTTTCATGACCAAGGACAAATCAAAATATGCTAAATAGCAGTACATGGCTAGGCAATATGTCAATAAATAAACAAATACAGCATATTTATCAATGTGCCAAAGAACCCATGTCCCTGTACTCAGTTCCTCTGAGGTCAGAGTGCATCTGTCTGACAGGTGGGGAACCAACAGTCAGCTTACAAACAAGTTAGATCTGTAAAGCAGTGCATGCACAACTCAAGTCCTGGAACAAGAGTAAGTAGACAAACAATAAGCAATTTCCACTGCAGTTGACAGCCGGTGAACATGAAGAAGACTGTACTCAGGACATCCAAGTGATCTGTCTCTCCCGGCAAAAGTCAAAGGCTGTAGGTATGCTTGATTCCATACTCTAACAGCTATTAACTGAAATAATTCACCAAGAGGCGTGTCGCGTTGCACCAACCTGTCATTTATTGCCCATAGTTTATCATCTATGTTCATTTTCAATCAACTGTCCTGTTTTTGTGCATGTCTGCTGCACACTTTGGAAAAAAGATCCAGACAATTTCCTCCACAAGTGATTGTATGGTTGGGGTCGCCACAACATGAGGAACTGTATTAAAGGTTTGCGGCATTAGGAAGGTTGTGAGTCACTGATAAAGATCTATAGAACTAATATAGTTTATTACTGCTCACATGTTTATCTATAGCTCTAATATATCATATAACTGCTAATGTAGATATCTAGCATTAAACAGTTTGAAAGCTCATATGTTGATATATTTTGCCATAATATAGTTTACTACTGCTCATATGTAGATATATTGCACTAACATAGTTTACTACTGCTCATATGTAGATATATTGCACTAATATAGTTTACTACTGCTCATATGTAGATATTTTGCACTAATATAGTTTACTAATGCTCATATGTAGATATATTGCAGTAATATAGTTTACTACTGCTCATGTCGATATATTGCACTAATATAGTTTACTATGCTCATATGTAGATATATTGCACTAATATAGTTTACTACTGCTCATGTAGATATCTAGCATTAAACAGTATGAATGCTCATATGTCGATATATTGCACTAATATAGTTTACTATGCTCATATGTAGATATATTGCACTAATATAGTTTACTACTGCTCATGTAGATATCTAGCATTAAACAGTATGAATGCTCATATGTCGATATATTGCACTAATATAGTTTACTATGCTCATATGTAGATATATTGCACTAATATAGTTTACTACTGCTCATGTAGATATCTAGCATTAAACAGTATGAATGCACATATGTCGATATATTGCACTAATATAGTTTACTATGCTCAAAGGTAGATATATTGCACTAATATATTTTACTACTGCTTATATGTAGATATCATCATCATCATCATCAGGTGCCTTGCCGAGTGGCGTGGGCGATCATGCCTCTCCATAATCCGCGATCTCCTGCAGCATGTATCAGTTCGTGTGCCGACACACCTCCATGCCATGCAACAAGACTGTCAAGCATCTTCTCTCGTTGTCTTCCTCTATCCCTCCTTCCACAGATCTTTCCAGTGGTCACAACATGTTCTATTTTCCCTCTTCTCATAACATGGCCGAAAAATGATGACTGTCTCCTTCTGATGTCAGTGATAAGTTGTCTTCGGTCTCCCGCCTCTTTTAAAACCTCTTGGTTGCTCTTTTGTGGCTGTCCAAGGTATTCTAAGCATTCTTCTGTAAAACCACATCTCTGAGGCCTCCAAAAATTGTTTGGCCTGCCTACCGATTGTCCAGGATTCACATCCATATGTTAAAACTGGATGTATGTAGCAAGCAAGAATTCTTTTTCTAACTCTCAATGACAAGGATATATTGCACAAGATGTTTTTCATTTTATAAAATGCAGTTTTTGCCTGTCCAATTCTGTTTCTTATTTCAGTTATGCATCTTCCATCTGATGTTATCCATGTGCCCATATACTTAAATTTCTGTACTTGTCTTAAAATAACACCATTGACTTTTATTACACATTTAGGAATAATTTGTTTCTTTGATACCACCATTACTTCTGTCTTCCCATTATTCAAACTGAGGCCCATTCTTCCACTTTCTAACACCACAATGTCTATCATTTCCTGTAATTCTTTCTGACTTGTTGCTATCAAGACTGTGTCATCAGCATAACGTAAATTGTTTATATTGTGCCCACCAACCACGATTCCGGGCATATCAATTAAAGATCTCATAATATATTCACTGTATATTGAAAACAAATCAGGTGAAAGTACACATCCTTGTCGTACGCCCCTCTTTATGCTTTGAAATGTACCTAAACAGTTGTTAATTCTTATAGCTGCTGTTTGCTGCCAATACATATTCTTTATTATTCTTAGATCTTTCCCATCAATGTTTAATTTTTCTAACAGTTTGATTACTTCTTCACGCTTCACACAGTCAAATGCTTTTGTATAGTCTATGAAGCATAAGTACAAATCAGTCTTTACTTCTATAGCTCTTTCTGACAATGTCCTTAGGATGTATATGGCATTGTTTGTACCTTTTCCTTCTACAAATCCACTTTGTTCATCGCTGATTTCTGGTTTAATTTTTTTTTCTTATTCTTCTCATAATTATTCTCAGTAAAATCTTAGTCATGTGACTCATAAGACTTATTGTGCGATGGTCTTCACATTTTAAAGTGCCTGGTTTCTTCGGCAGAGCTATAAATATGGATTTTAAAAGGTCATTTGGAATATACCCACTGTTATAAATATCATTTAAAAGTTTTTTTATTATTTCAATTCCAAAATTTCCCAGTGCTTCGATTTCTTCCAGTGAGATGTTGTCTGGCCCGGGTGCTTTTCCTTTCTTCATATGATGTATTGCATCCTCAACTTCTGCAGTCATTATTGGTGGACCATCATTGTTGTTCTGCAGTTCTACGTCTGGTCTATTATCATCATACAATTCCCCTATATACTCTGTCCATCTGTTAACTATATTACTATGTCCCATTAATAAGTCACCATCCTTTGATATCAAACATCCAGTGCTGTTACGTGTCATCTTTCCTGTTAACATATTTATCTGTTGGTACATGGAATGTGAGTCTTTCCCGTGATTTTCCCCAATCTCTGTACACATTTGATTCAGCCAGGCTTCTTTAGCCACTTTGCATTTGTTCACTATTTCTTTTTGTATTCTAGAGTATTCTTCTTTATCATTCTTTTTCTTCCTTCTTTCATCCATCAACTGCAGAATTTCGGTTGAAATCCATTTCTTTTTTGCAACTGTATGGGTTGGTGGGATTGTCTCTTTTGATGTCTGCTGAATTGACTCACGCAACATATCCCACTGTTCATCAATTGTTTGTATAATTTTCCATTGCATTATACCGGTTTTGTACAGTGACGTTGTACTGTTCCTTAATTTCTTTATCCGTTCTAAGAATTCCTAAATTTAACTTGATGTTCTGTGGTGTTTTTCTAATGTTCTTTAGTTTTATTCTAATTTTTCCTACAACTGGAACATGGTCACTAAAGCAGTCTGCCCCTGGTCTAGTTTTAGCTCCAACTAAGCTGCTCTGAAATCTTCTTGAAATCAAAATATAATCAATCTGATTGCGGACATTATCACCAGGACTTTTCCAAGTCCACAATCTTCGAGGATGGTGTTTAAACCAGGTGTTACCTATTATCATGCTGCGCGACTCAGCCCATGCTATTAATCTGTCACCTCTCACATTCTTTTCTCCTAGTCCATAGCCACCCGTTATTCCGTACACTTTTTCACTTCCTACTTTTGCGTTGAAATCTCCAAGTACCATTGTTACTTCACAATTTTTGCATTGATCAACAGCCATGTCTAACTCATCATAAAATGCGTCAATGTCTTCCTCTGAACTAACTGCTGTTGGGGCATAAATCTGTACTAAGTTGATGTCAAACGGTCTGCCGCGAAGTTTTACTAATAGTACTCTATCTGATATTGTCCAAAATCCTTTAACAGTTTTTGAGTTCTTTGGATCCAAAATAATACCAACTCCCTTGCTATATTCTTTCCCTCCCGAGTAGATAATTCTGTGCTGATCTGAATACTTTTCCCCTGCTCCTGGCCATCGCATTTCACTAATTCCTAGTATGTTGATGTTCATTCTCTTCATTTCCATCTTGATGTTATCCAGTTTTCCGTTTTGCACGAGTGTTCTGACATTCCATGTACCAATTTTCATGATGTTTCTACCATTTACTTTTTCTACATGTAGATATATTGCACTAATATAGTTTACTACTGCTCATGTAGATATCTAGCATTAAACAGTATGAATGCTCATATGTCGATATATTGCAGTAATATAGTTTACTACTGCTCATGTCGATATATTGCACTAGTATAGTTTACTACTGCTCATATGTAGATGTCTAGTATTAATATGGTCTACAACTGATCACAGGTAGATGTCTAGTATTAATATGGTCTACAACTGATCACAGGTAGATGTCTAGTATTAATATGGTCTACAACTGATCACAGGTAGATGTCTAGCATTAATATGGTCTACAACTGATCACAGGTAAATATTCCCCCCCCCCCCCCCCCCCCCCCCCCCCCCGTATAAACTACAACTGTCCACACGTAGATATAGTTTACAACCACTAACCTGGAGATATGTAGCATTGATATAATCTGACCCATCAATACCAGGCCTTGCTGGTAACAATACTCGTTTCAAATTCACAGGAACTATGCTGCCTGGCCGGTTTTTCTCCAGGTTAACCGGTTTGAGAGCTGCTGACAGATCCATTTCACTTGGTACATATTCTGTGATCAACTGCAGAGGATGAGACAGAAGAATGTTAATTAATCCATTTAGTTTGGACAATCCATAAGCATAAATAGTTATAGCCTAACATATATGATACATACATACATACATAATACATACATACATAATACATATATACATATGCACGCATGCATATATGCACAGATAACATCCATTGAGATACACATTTCTATATAGGGGGAAAATATTAACATCTACGAGAAACAAATTTAAAACAAAAATGTCTAACATGAAACCTAGACAATAAAAAACCAATAACAATGTTATTGTCCTGGAGATGTGGAATCAAAGAGGAGTAAGGGAAGGGAGGGATGCACCGAAGAAGTGAAAGGTTAAGACAGGATAGAGGGATAGAGGAGGAGTAGATGTGGAATCAAAGAGGAGTAAGGGAAGGGAGGGAAGAAGTGAAAGGTGAAGACAGGATAGAGGGATAGAGGAGGAGTAGATGTGGGGCAAGGCCAGAAAGGAAGAAGTAGAAGAAATGTGATGAAATAATCTCTCTGTTTTAAATGAAAGAGGCTAATTTACCTGAAACTGTCTCTCTAACAAGGTGGTGTCGGTGATGGTAGGTAATATGACCCCTCTGGCTGGCTGCTCCAGGTCACTCAGGTGACTGGACATCTGGTCATCCCTGACTTCAGTGGTCCCGTTGCCAAGGAGGTACTCGACTAGAACTTCATGGATGAATATGTACTGGTCCTGGGGGAGAAGTTGCAAACAGAGTTATCATCTGTAAACTGTGGCTATTTTAGTGTGACCTGGTGTGACGTGTGTGCATGTGCATGCAAGAGGGGGGAGGGGGGGAGAGACAGAGAGAGAGAGAGAGAGAGAGAGAGAGAGAGAGAGAGAGAGAGAGAGAGAGAGTGAGAGAGAGAGAGAGAGAGAGAGAGAGAGAGAGAGAGAGAGAGAGAGAGAGAGAGTGAGAGAGAGAGAGAGAGAGAGAGAGAGAGAGAGAGAGAGAGAGAGAGGAGTGAGAGAGAGAGAGAGAGAGAGAGAGAGAGAGAGAGAGAGAGAGAGAGAGAGACCGCTGGCAAACAAGGGTCCATTACTTGTCTATGCTTAATTGCATCAGTAAACCACGAGCCATTGTTCTGATAGGAATAAGCAAAAATGGTCAACAGCTGACTACTAGTCTTGGATCAGATCTATGTTCTTGCCTCTTTTGCACCAACTGGGTAAAAAATGCAGGTATTTATAACAGTTCCAAGGCCCCATTTTGGGAGGGGGTGGGGGGGGGGGGGGGGGGGGGGGGGGGACAGAACAGATGACAGCATGTCATAAAAGGCAAATAATTAGCAGTTAGCTGAAATTTATCATGCTGGACAGAAAGGCACATATATCAAAGGCCCAACTGTAAACAGCACCATAATACGCCAACTGCCCTTTTTCAGAACGAATGCTGAAGAAGATCTCATCGTATGATGAAGTGCTTTGCGTCATGGTCCACACTTACTGCAAGCCGAGCCAAAAACCCATGCCAGAGAAGCTGCAGGAGCATAAGATCTGATATCACTATACCCGAGATATTTCCATCATTTGTGCTCCATCCCCATCTTCAGCAGCAAGTGCAAAGTTACAATTCAGATGGTCCAGCAACAGCCTGACTGTATGTCCATCTTGTTCTTTCCTCTGAGTGCTGGTCAGTCTCTGCTGTGCCAGTCTCTCCAGACCATGATGATATATGTGTCTTCTCACTCCCAAATGGCCCTGACCACAGATGGTTTGTTATCCATCAAATTTAAAAGGGGAATGGCAGAAGAACAATAAGAATGTATCACATTTTACATTTGTCTAGAAGAACAAGAAGAATGTATCACAATTCACCTCTGTCTAGAAGAACAAGAATGTATCACAATTCACCTCTGTCTAGAAGAACAATAAGAATGTATCACATTTTACCTCTGTCTAGAAGAACAAGAAGAATGCATCACAGTTCACCTCTGTCTAGAAGAACAAGAAGAATGTATCACAATTTACCTCTGTCTAGAAGAACAAGAAGAATGTATCACAATTTACCTCTGTCTAGAAGAACAAGAAGAATGTATCACATTTTACCTCTGTCTAGAAGAATAAGAAGAATGCATCACAGTTCACCTCTGTCTAGAAGAACAAGAATGTATCACAATTTACCTCTGTCTAGAAGAACAAGAAGAATGTATCACATTTTACCTCTGTCTAGAAGAATAAGAACAACATTTTACATTTTACCTCTGTCTAGAAGAATAAGAAGAACATTTCACAATTCACCTCTGTCTAGAAGAACAAGAAGAATGTATCACAATTTACCTCTGTCTATAAGAACAAGAAGAATGTATCACAATTTACCTCTGTCTAGAAGATCAAGAAGAATGTATCACATTTTACATCTGTCTAGAAGAACAAGAAGAATGTATCACATTTTACCTCTGTCTAGAAGAACAAGAAGAATGTATCACATTTTACCTCTGTCTAGAAGAACAAGAAGAATGTATCACATTTTACCTCTGTCTAGAAAAATAAGAAGAACATTTCACAATTCACCTCTGTCTAGAAGAACAAGAAGAATGTATCACAATTTACCTCTGTCTATAAGAACAAGAAGAATGTATCACAATTTACCTCTGTCTAGAAGATCAAGAAGAATGTATCACATTTTACCTCTGTCTAGAAGAACAAGAAGAATGTATCACATTTTACCTCTGTCTAGAAGAACAAGAAGAATGCATCACAGTTCACCTCTGTCTAGAAGAACAAGAAGAATGTATTACAATTTACCTCTGTCTGCACTAAGAAGTTTCTCTGTCTCCTGATATGCTGTGTAAAGCCGGGAATATTGACTGTCTGTTGTTCTTGAATCTGTGCTATCATACTGTCAATCAAAATATAGGTGCCGGTACGCCCAACACCAGCACTGAAATGATAAAGTGATAAAACTATGAACAATTTGCATTTTTTTTTTTTTTTTAAATTGTAATTTCCATCACAAATAAAAACTGATTTTTATTTAGCCTTTGAAAATGTGATTTCTTTATTACTCACTGCAACAATAACAAAACATGTGCTACAGGAGAAAAAAAACTGATATCACTGAAATGAAAATAATTTTCAAGTACTCATGACAAATAATCATTAATTAGTTCAGATTATTTGGCTGTGCACAGTATTCTCTGGTGACTGGTTGGTTGAGTACTGCCTTCTCTGGTGACTGGGTGGTTGAGTACTATCTTCTCTGGTGACTGGGTGGTTGAGTACTATCTTCTCTGGTGACTGGGTGGTTGAGTACTGCCTTCTCTGGTGACTGGGTGGTTGAGTACTATCTTCTCTGGTGACTGGGTGGTTGAGTACTATCTTCTCTGGTGACTGGGTGGTTGAGTACTATCTTCTCTGGTGACTGGTTGGTTGAGTACTGCCTTCTCTGGTGACTGGGTGGTTGAGTACTATCTTCTCTGGTGACTGGTTGGTTGAGTACTGCCTTCTCTGGTGACTGGGTGGTTGAGTACTATCTTCTCTGGTGACTGGCTGGTTGAGTACTATCTTCTCTGGTGACTGGGTGGTTGAGTACTATCTTCTCTGGTGACTGGTTGGTTGAGTACTGCCTTCTCTGGTGACTGGGTGGTTGAGTACTATCTTCTCTGGTGACTGGTTGGTCAAGTATATCTTCTGGCTAATTGAGTACTGCCTTCTATGGTGACTGGGTGGTTGAGTACTATCTTCTCTCGTGACTGGTTGGTCAAGTATATCTTCTGGCTAATTGAGTACTGCCTTCTCTGGTGAACTGTTTTTTTAGTACTGCCTTCTCTGGTGACTAGGTGGTTGAGTACTATCCCATCTGGTGACTGGGTGGTTGAGTAATGCCTTTTCTAGTGAACGGTTGGTTAAGTACTGCCATCTCTGGTGAACGGTTGGTTGAGTACTGCCTTCTGTGGTGACTAGGTGGTTGAGTACTGCCTTCTGTGGTGACTGGTTGGCAGAGTACAGTTTCTTTTTTGGAAATCTGTAAGTTTTATCAATCAGGTCATCTTAACACTTAAGATGGCTAACTTTCTGACGCTGGTGTACAAAGATAACCTTTTCTTGTCCTCCCCAGAAACCAGCAGGGTGCGAATATCTGACATTGGCACTCCACATCTGAGAGGCATAAAAATCCTTAGAAAACTGGCCAGCCTGCGTCTATATAAGTTAAACAGTTGAAAGTTACATGGTCTAGGACAGTGGGAGACCTTGTACTGTGAACTTAGTGACCCTTTCTAGGCAATAAGGTAGCCAGTTTCTGGCAGGATGCTGATAAAAACCCTTATAAAATGTCGCTTGCTCAAAATATATGGGACTAGTGTCAAATCTCCAAAATTCCACACTGGCATGGCAACAGAGTCCATAACTTCTCACTCAAGTATGTGTGTCCAATATATGATACCACTATAATGGAGAACAACTGGAAAGATACAGAAAGTTACCGACCTGCAATGGACTACAATTGGACCATTTTCTGATCCACTCTGCGCTGCTGACTTCTGTACAAAGGACAGGACAGGCAAGGTATAATCTGGAACTCCGTGGTCTGGCCACTGGGTGTAGTGATAATGATAAACTGTTCTCTCAACAACACCTTTCATTGAATGGCGCTGAGAAAAAAACAAGTAATAATATATTTAACAAGGACTTCAGCACTTGCCCAGCAAATCTGTAATCCCTAACAGTCAAATATTCCTCATTTATAAAAAATATTACCGGCTGGCCGTCTTTACTTTCCCAGGACAGCCCATCCTGGTACTCATCTGAGGCTGGGTCCACCTGTGACGTCCCATACCAGGATAAAAATCCACGCAGTGGGTTTCGATCGCGGTACATTGGATTACGAGTCAGACTCCCAACACCTTAGCTACGGAAGCCGCATCCGTTTTACAGATCTGGCTTATCTGTATGCAGGCTGTTGGTGCCTTGCCTATCAGGCAGATACACTCTGACTTCAAAGGAATCCCCCAATTAGTCAACTCTTGAGATATGTTGGGATATTTTTTCCCTACAGCAGAACCCCTGAACCCACCCAAGGAAGATATTTCTATAATCTTCACAAATCCAATATTAGTTTTATTTTTGTCCCTTCAAATCAACAATTTGTTGTTGTTGGTTTTTTTTTTTTTTTGTACTCTCAGTTAATTAAACTTTAACTTTTTATGTATGCTCAGACAACCAATAAAATATTTTTTTTTAAATTTTTTTTTTAATTCTCAGCCAATCAAATGTTAGCTCGTTTTACTCTCAGTCAATTAGTTACTTGGGTTCTCAGTGAACTGATAACTGGTCAAAGTTTAAACAATTAATATGAGAAAACTAGTACAGAACAAGACACAAAGATGCTCAAATAAGCAGGTTGAGAAGTTAACTAATAAAGTTTGTTTCCTTTGAAGTTGGCAGTGCATCTGCCTGAGAGGCACGAATCAACAGTCTATATACAAAAATACCAGTTCTGTTAAACAGGTAAAGTAAAAAAAAGTAAAGATCCCTTTCACGCCTTTAGGCGCATCGGGCATATGGGAAGAGCGCCCATATTTTTACAGACCATCAGCACTTGGTGGGTAATGTGGTCAGCATTACGCCGGCTGTCTTTACTTTCCCAGGACAGCCCATCCTGGTACCCATTTGAGGCTGGGTCGACCTGCGACGTCCCATACCACGATAAAAATCCACGCAGCCCGCAGTGGGTTTTGATCGCGGTACGTTGGATTACGAATCGGACTCGCAACGCCTTAGCCACGGACGCCGCCTGTTAAACAGGTGCGCATGTAAAAATCAAATTCTGAAACAAGGTCAAAGTCTAGAAGTGGATGAACAACCAGAGATTACAACCATTGAATGCTAAGAAGAAGAAGGAGAAACTGAATTTTAGATAATGTGAAAACAAAATTACAATACAGGTATAGGACATGTACAATCAACTGTTTGGGGAAAACAGACATTCCTTTACTACAGGGCTATTCAAACTGGTGGCCCGCAGGCCAAATCTGAACTGCGGAGACCTAACAGGTGGCCCCAAGATTATTGCCAATAACACTGTCTTTCTACATTGTGGCTCTGGCCTTTGGCCCGTGACAATCCCCACTGCAAGCATTCTGGCCCCTGGTAAACAGGCCCTGTGAGAATCCCCACTGTAAACATTCTGGCCCCTGGTAAACTGGCCCGTGACAATCCCCACTGTAAACATTCTGGCCCCTGGTAAACTGGCCCTGTGAGAATCCCCACTGTAAACATTCTGGCCCCTGGTAAACTAGCCCGTGACAATCCCCACTGTAAACATTCTGGCACCTGGTGAACTGGCCAGTGGCAATCCCCACTGTAAACATTCTGGCACCTGGTGAACTGGCCCGTGGCAATCCCCACTGTAATCATTCTGGCACCTGGTGAACTGGCCCGTGACAATCCCCACTGTAAACATTCTGGCACCTGGTGAACTGGCCCGTGACAATCCCCACTGTAAACATTCTGGCCCCTGGTAAACAGGCCCTGTGAGAATCCCCACTGTAAACATTCTGGCCCCTGGTAAACTGGCCCGTGACAATCCATACTGTAAACATTCTGGCCTCTGGTGAACTGGCCCGTGACAATCCCCACTGTAAACTTCTGGCCCCTGGTAAACTGGCCCGTGACAATCCCCACTGCAAACATTCTGGCCCCTGGTAAACTGAGCTGAGCAGTCCTGCTTTATTAGAACCTTGGATTAGAACCTTAACTCTTTGAGTCTGAGTCCCAGGAGGTTTAGCATCACAGGTCCAAGGGGTAGTCAAAAGAGACGTAAAACCAGCACATCATACGTTCCTTGGGCTTCTAGGCAGTAACCTATGAATGTATGATGCGTTCCTTGGGACTCAAAGAGTGAACGCTATTTGTACAAAATAAACATAGCCAAAGAAAAATGTAATCTCCAACACATGCAGTAAATGAACCCGTGTTAAATGCTTTTAGGTCAATGAAAACATAACTGATCAAAAATGATGTGTAAGACACTGACAATAACAGCAGCAACAGCACTGCATACATCAATCACAAACTTGAAGCCCAACAAATGAGGCTGTTGCCTGACAGTAACATTTTACAACCAAGGTGTTTACAACGCTGTTGCCTGACAGTAACATTTTACAACAAAGGTGTTTACAACGCTGTTGCCTGACAGTAACATTTTACAACCAAGGTGTTTACAACACTGTTGCCTGACAGTAACATTTTACAACCAAGGTGTTTACAACACTGTTGCCTGACAGTAACATTTTACAACCAAGGTGTTTACAACGCTGTTGCCAGACAGTAACATTTTACAACCAAGGTGTTTACAACGCTGTTGCCTGACATTAACATTTTACAACAAAGGTGTTTACAAAACTGTTGCCCGACAGTAACATTTTACAACCAGGGTGTTTACAACGCTGTTGCCTGACAGTAACATTTTACAACCAAGGTGTTTACAACGCTGTTGCCTGACAGTAACATTTTACAACCAAGGTGTTCACAGCGCTGTTGCCTGACAGTAACATTTTACAACCAAGGTGTTTACAGGGCTGTTGCCTGACAGTAACATTTTACAACCAAGTTGTTTACAACACTGTTGCCTGACAGTAACATTTTACAACCAAGGTGTTTACAACGCTGTTCCCTAACAGTAACATTTTACAACCAAGGTGTTTACAACGCTGTTGCCTGACAGTAACATTTTACAACCAAGGTGTTTACAATGCTGTTGCGTGCAAAATAAGAGTAAATATAACTAATCCAAATATATTCTCCTTTTGCTATCTTCTGCATTTGTCCTTTAAAGGATGACTGGCAAGCCATATTGTTGTTGTTTACAGCAAGGCTGTGATATCTGCACCTTTCTGTCCCTAAGCAATATAGGATATCAATGCATGCAGTTCATTCTTTACTGGTGAAATATATCACCTACACACCTAAGCCACGGCGTCCATGGCTTAGGTGTTGCCAGTACAACTCGTTATTCCAACGTGCCGCGATAGAAACCCACTGCTGGCTGTGTGGATCTTTATCATGGTATGGGGCGTCACAGGTCGACCCAGCCTAATATGGGTACCAGGATGGATGCCCTGGGAAAGTAAAGATGGCCGGCGTAATGCTGACCACATTACCCACCTAGTGCCGATTGGTCTGTAAAAATATGGGTGCTTTTGCCATATGCCTGATGCACCTAAAGGCGTGAAAGGGGATCTTTACTTAACTTACTTTTACACTTAGTTATTTAGACCAGCATTCCTTAACTTTTTTACACTGGTGGACCACCAAAACAAGGTAAAATATTTCGTGGCCCACCTAACAACAAATAAAACACCCAAAAACTGACACGCGCGACGCCACACACAGTTTGCAAGAATCATATAGCTACTTCATGAGTCACTGCCCTTACTTCCAGCCCAGACTACGTAACCGCCGGGTGCTATAATATTACTTTTTTACAGGGTTGAGCAGGGTTTTTAGGATTTGTACCTGTTTTATACCAGGAAACTCTTTCTTTTCACATGGACACTGGTGGAAAAACAGAAAACATGGAAGATCAAGAGAGAGCCTGCGTAGAACCATCCAGGGAAGGCTCAACCATGGGCCTAATGAATATCGGCGACCTAAAACAGGTGGCAACGAACCGCCAGACACGAAGAGATATGACCTCTGCCCTAAGTGCGGCCCTAGGCTCAAGAGGAAAGACAGACTAACTAACTAACTACGCTCGTTCTTGAGGTGTTAGAGCCTACAGACAGCGATCAAAGAAGAGGAAAACTGCATATCTGACCCTGTTGCATGATTAGACACAAACTGTTGGCGGCCCACCTGTGACTTTCTGTGGCCTACCGGCGGGCTGCAGCCCAAAGGTTGAAAAACACAAATCTAGGCTAGAAAACAATATCAAAATATATGCGGTTTCATCCGCATAAGTCCAAAATACATTCTACTTTTGTTTCCTAGAGAAAAAGACGTAATCTAGGGTTCTAAAGATACCTCATGTGCACCTTTCAATTCATTATTCTTAGCATAGTACAACTGAATTTTAATACTGTACAACTGAATCTCTACAACAAATGAATGTTGGTACTGTGCAACTGAATCTATACAACTGAATGTTGGTACTGTGCAACTGAATTTATGCTACAATTGAATGTTAGTACTGTGCAACTGAATCTATACTACAACTGAATATACTGTGCAACTGAATCTACACTACAAATGAATGTTGGTACTGTGCAACTGAATCTATACTACAACTGAATGTTGGTACTGTGCAACTGAATATATACTACAACTAAATGCTGGTACTGTGCAACTGAATATATACTACAAATGAATGTTGATATTCGTACCACTGTACAATAACATTATCACAACTGTACTCAACAGTTTTAAATAAACACACAGTGACATAAAACATCAATCTACTGACAACATCAACAGTCTCAGGCATCTAAACCAACTACCCAAAAAAACAGAAAAAAACGCAAGCAGGTTTGGGATACAGAGGAAGCATGCATACCTTTTTTACCTTCATGTTCCGGAGAGAGAAGACACGGACCGTGTAGTGCGCCCGCGGTACGGTAGTGATCAGCTTGACGTTTATGTTACCATATGTTTCTGCACCATCACTCGGCCAGTACTGATCACATTTTCGCTGAATGGGAGTAAATGAATATATAGTAAACCTCAACGTGAATTCCAAAACACTGAAAAATAGAAATTTTTTGTTAAAAAATATGTGTGCTAGCCAGAGACCCATATTAGTACATTTCTCCCTTGCGTGGATTCGTGGGCTACACTGGGGGGACGGAAAAAAGGGCCACTGCCATCTAAAAAGCATGTCATAAGAGGTGACTGACTAGAGTTGTTTCCTTCAAAACAGATTATAAACAGCATGTTCATACCAACACTGTGCTACAAGTGCCAGACTTGGACACTAATAAAGCTAACCTATGTAAAATTAACACCTGTGAAATGAGAAAGTCAACAACTTAACTATCCGAGACAAAGAAATAATATTATCATACAGACTGAAGGAACAACAAGATGCAGCAAATTTACTGAGAAACAGAAGATCAAATGGTTTGTTATTTAGTAAGAATGCAGCCAGAACAACTACCAACGCAGATGCTACACACAAAAAGATCTGAAGTGAAGGCAAGAGGCCAACCCAGGAGAAGATGGTTTGATGACATTTAAAGAGCTTCTACAGACATGGAATGACAATAGCCACTGCTGTCCATCAAGCAATGGATCGCAAACTGTTCCTCACCAAAAAAGCTTAACGAGACAAGTGGAAATTGATGACGATGAAAACTGGCCCAATGAGTCAACACTGAACTCAAAGTTGTATGGAACTAAAAGGGAACTCCTAAAAACAGTCAGGTTTATCACAAGAACGTCCCTGTCGGTGTAAATCCGAAAACGAACACAGGAAAAGGGGGGGGGGGGGAGCATGGACATCCATTTTACAGATCTGGCTTATTGGTCTGCAGACTACTGGTTCCTTGCCTCTCAGGCAGATGCACTCCAACTTTGAAGAACACTCCTAATTAGTCAACTTTTACAACATGCTTGTTTGTGAGGCAAAGAGTCTATTTGGTTGTTCCTAAAATGGGGCCCTGGATCCCACACAGAGAATTTAGCTTATTTAAAACTAAACAATTCAACAACAACAACAAAACATCTCTCAACCGGGAAAACTTAAACAAACCAGTGCAGGTATTTCAAAAGCTAAATGAACAGATTTACGCACAAAAGTCACTCACCCTTCCTTTCTCCATTAGATTTGTGATCATCACAATGACATTTGTATTCTGCTCCCAAACCATTCTCCAGAAATCTGGGAAAGTCTGAGGTAGGGGCCCCTGTGTAGCTATGTATGCTTTTGACTTCTTGTAACCCTGCAAGCAAAGACAGATATTGACCTCATTCATCACAAACACCTCATGATTGTTACAGTTAAGCATCGTTCAGCGCCAACTCCCCAGTAGAGGTTGGCGCCATGGATCTACAGGTTTCATTTATTTTGTATTCACCCTTAAAAGGGGAGTTGGCTCACTGTATTGCAGTTTACAGCTAGGCTGTGATATCTGCAGCTTTCAGACCAACATATCTGATTTCAGCAAACACCTAACAACATACAGTGCACTGATAGAAACTGTGCAGACAAACAACCTCAGCAATCAGTTTAACAATGCAAGGTAAAATATTTCACAGAAATTTACAGAAATTAATTTATTTTAGATAAAACATTATATTTTCTAAAGAACACATCACAATAATGCAATAAAGTTAACAAATAGAGCTCCCTAAATATCTGATACATTTCTCAAACAAAACAATTATGCGTCATACGTACAAACCATACTTACATCAACATAGTTGGCATTAATGTAGTCAGACTGACGCAAGCGACCCAACTCTGTCTTCAGTATGACTCTAGAATGGTCATCTAAGTTCAGAAAAACCATTATTAGCATTTTCACCTGTCTGAAGTCTATACTTTTTAAACTGGACATTATTGTAGAAAATCACAAGTAATAGTAATTGAAAAGAAATCCTTGAGAATGCAATAAAGTAAACAGCAACATTTTGATGATACAATTATCTGAATACCCTGAAAACAGCCCATCGTAGATGTATTTAAAAGGAAAACTGCCCATATTTCTCTTGGCTTCATACATGTAACGAACATTTGCAGCACTGCATCAGTATGGCCCGTCTCCTTCTGATTTTTACTAAACACTCTCCATTTATTTTTTTTTTTTTTTATTGTGGAGCTAACGAAAACAACATCTTTGATATTTTCAACATCTCGAGTTATAGAAATAAATGTCACCAATTTTGTGTTGACCAAAACTTCAACAGATCTCATAACGTTGTTATAATTCTCATGATATTATTCACGTAGATGTTGAACACATATGGAACATGCACTGCAGCACATACCCGAAGTCTGTCGTCAGTGAAGAAGAAGCTGGAATATTCTAGAACTAGTTCTCTATGACCACAGCGTGGATAATAAACTACCCCTTGTGGGTTCTGGGGCTCCATTTTAGAGAATACAGAATAGACGACCCCCCCCCCCTTCCAACTCCCCAACAAGCGTATCATTGGAGGTGACTAATTAGGAGTGTGTCTGACTGAGAGGCAAGGAAACAACAGTCTGCAGACAAATAAGCCAGGTATGCAAAACTCAAGGTCTGGACTCAAAGTCCAGGTGTGAGAGAACAACCAGAACTTTCTGCTGCAGTTTATAACCGGTAAATGCTAGGAAGAAGAGGAAGAAGAAGAAGAAGAAGAAGAAGAAGAAGAAGAAGAAGAAGAAGATGAAGAAGAAGAAGAAGAAGAAGAAGACGAAGAGGAAGAATACAAAGACAGCAAACTTACATGCCACAATGTTTATATATCTGTTTTTGCTTCTGTTATCTGGCAGATTAGAACTGTCACAGGAATACCGGTCCACAAATGATGTTCTATTGATCTCCTATATCAAGAATAATTATGGTGGTATGGTGTTCAAACACAATTAAGAATTTAAAAAACACAAAGGTAACAATGATTCATCACAAAATAATATATCCAAGGTAATAATAAAGACAATACTCTGTTCATCCATTTATTCAGCTATCATTCATTCATCTACCCCCATACACACCCCGAGCACACAAAAACTAGTTCACCCATGTATCTTTTGTTGGCACTGTTCCTGACCAAATTGTTCCAATGAGCTGTAGGAAGCTTGGGAATCACAGCCCATAGCAATCTCAATGAAGGCAAGGGATGTCCTCTTTGTAGCACAAAGTCTCAGCAGTAAAGTCACGACCATGTGTTGCCCATGAAGGCATCAGATGTCCTCTTCACAGCACAAAGTCTTAGCAGTAAAGTCACGACCTTGTGTTGCCCATGAAAGCAAGGGATGTCCTCTTCACAGCACAAAGTCTCAGCAGTAAAGTCACAACCATGTGTTGCCCATGCAGCATGATGCCTCGCTTGACCTGGTTAGTTTACTCCAAAGGAAGGGTCACACCAATGTGTTTGGACAAAGCATGTTGCAGAAGCTGCTAGATCAGAAAAGTAGTGTTTTCCCCCCGTCAGAGTTTTTCTTTAAGACCAGCTGCCAACCAAGGCTAAGGATTTCCATGTATCCACGCACCCACTGATTAATATTTTCGTCCACCTATAAGAAGTGTTGATTTGAAACCCGTCCCAATGGCTATTATAACAGCACGAGAAAAACATCAACAGGTGCTGCAGAATTAAATAAAGCGTTCATTCTGAATTAATAATAGGCTGGTCAGAAACAATTGCCTTAGGCATTCAGACAAGCATTAAAAAAACTTGTCTTAGGCATTCAGACAGGCATCCCAGTGCTTACGCAGACGGCAACAGTCATCTGAAAAAGACAGAAAACAGACTGTGCCTGCTCACTGAACCAAGTATTTACCACAATCCTCCTTTTAGTGGAGTGGCATGCATTCAGAAGTCACATGTGAGGAGAACTGTCTGGAATTTTTCTCTGGGGGATGCTAGTATGTTGGGAAATGAACAGGCAGACAGACTGGCTGACTCTGTATAACCTGGTGGAATGCTGACACATGGTCAAGGCCTTATGTGAGCATGTGTACAATTCGGAGCAGCAAATCAATCACCACAGTCTGGTGAGAATGATGTAGCGAGGAGTGACGAGGGGATCTGACCAATACTCCAATACTCAACGCTCAGAGGAAAAGCAAGACGGGTGTATAATCAGAATGCTACTGGCACCACTGGTACTGGAACTCTGCGCTGGATGCTAAAGATGGGGATGGAGTGCTTATGGGAATGCCCTAAGTGTTCAGATTTTGGTTTTTGAATCAAAAGCAAAACTCAATTCCTTTTGCTCTGGTCAAAATCTGTTGTACCCACTGTGAACACGCTTCTGAAGCCACAGTTTCTTAATAACAATCTCTGGACAATAAGCACACGCTCTTTTATTCACTGGCCAGTCCTTAACACATGCCGTGATTGTCACTGACTCACAGAGCATGTTGAGGAATGTGAAAACAGGCATACTTCGTGCAGTGACAAGCATCACTTCAGAGATCCTGGGTAGTTAGCATCCTTTGGATATTTTCTCCAGGTTATGCCGGTGTGTTGGGAAATGAGCAGGCAGATAGACTGGCCAGCTCTGCACCACTTGGTGGTGAATTGATGTATGACAAGTTAGATATTGTGAGGACCCTTTTGGGAGCGAGTCAACAGTGGGGAGGTGTAGACAGATCATTCTGGTCTAAGGAGAATGGCGCCGCGAGGAGTTATCAGGGGATGTGGCCGACGCTCAACACTCAGGGGAGGGATGAGACAGATATACAATCAGACTGTTACTGGTAATACCAGAAATTGAACTCTTCACTTGCTGCTAAAGATGGGGACTGAGCACTTTTGGTAGTGCCCAGAGTGCTGCGAATCTTAATTCAACATTCTACTTAACACATGACTATGACATGATCATGTTCAATGCAGAAAAATTATGCGGGGTGCTGCATTTGGGTTTCCAATGAACACTCCATATGCATACCATCCACACATCTATGTATCCACACATCTATGTATCCACACATCCACGTACTCACACAATCATCAAATTGTAAAATGCCATAGGGATGAGCAGAGTCATTATATTGAAGATAAACATTTGGGGTCAACTCACATCAAACTCCTGAGAGAAACCAATGTCGCCATCCATGTGCATACGTTTGACATGAGAGATGAAGTCTGTGACATCAATGTCTGGGTAATGCTTCTCTTCTGTGCGAATACATAAAATCAAATATAAGTGAACCACAAAATTTTATCTATGTGAACAACGCAATGATATATAAGTGAGCAATGCAATGATACATAAGTGAACAATGCAATGATATATAAGTAAACAATGCAATGATATATAAGTAAACAATGCAACGATACATAAGTGAACAATGCAATGATACATAAGTGAACAATGCAATGATACATAAGTGAACAATGCAATGATACATAAGTGAACAATGCAATGATACATAAGTGAACAATGCAATGAAAAATAAGTGAACAAAAATGATACATTTTTGAACAACAAAATGATATATAAGTGAACTACAGAAAGATAAAGCAGTGAACAATACAATGATATATAAGTAAACAACAAAACGATATATAAGTGAACAGTAAAATAATATATAAGTAAACAATAACATGATATATGAGTGAATAACAAAATTATATATAAGTAAACAACAAATTATTTAGGTGAACAACAAAATGATATATAGGCGAACAACAAAATTATGTATAAGTGAACAACAAAATGATATACAAGTTAACAATAAAATTATATGTAAGCGAACAACAAAATGATATATAAGTGAACAACAAAATGATATACAGGCGAACAACAAAATGATAATAGCTGAACAACAAAATGATATTAGGCGAACAACAAAATGATATGCAAGTGAACAACAAAATTATTTACAAGTTAACAATAAAATGATATGTAAGTGAACAACAAAATGATATATGGGTGAACAACAAAATTATAAGTAAACAAAGACATACACTGTAATTTGCTATGCATAAGACAAAATGTTTTCCCAACATGTTTTAGTTTAAAACTGGTAGACATATTTTACACAGAATGTGGTTAAAATATATTATCTTAACTTTAGGCTAAAATAATAGGGTTTGATCTATAAATTGGAGGGCGGGGGGCCTCATGCATGGAAAAATATAGTTAATCGGCCATACCCCTACTTCCCCGCTCGTTTTTCTTGATATTCAGGACTACAGGCAGGAGGATTGCTGGTCCTGAACCTTACTACAAGCACCCACATACACAAATGTATGCTCACACACATGGACAGAGAGACAGAGAGAGAGGGGGGCGGAGAGAAGTATAACAGAGACGAACAGAGACAGAGAAACACAGAGTTAATGAAACAGAAAGGCAAAAAAAGAAACAGATAGCCTTGAAAATACAAAGTAAAAGAGAAAGGAAAAGATAGCATGAAACAAACAGAAAAAGTAGAGAAACAGTAAACTGGAGAGAAAAAAAAGAAGAAAAAACCCAGAGAGATAGACAGAAAGACATTTATCTAGACAGAAACAGAGAAACACAATTTGTGCCAAGTTCTACTACAGAAAACCATTGATTTATATTACCTCCTGATTAGATTGCACCTTATAAAGATTAAGGGCTGTTTATTTTATTTACATTTACTGGCATTATTACTGAAGAGACAAGATCTAGATAGACATTATGAAGCCTTTTAGTTTACTAAAGCCAATTTTCAATAATCAACTGCCATAGTTTTAAAAAGCTCATGTCTACAGATCAACCTACCGCTAGGTTCGTCCACTGTAACTACAGTTGCTTGTATCGAGTTGCCATTGTTTGGAACGGCCAGGTACAAATATGCTGCTTGGTAACACTTCCTACATGTATAGAATCTGAAAAGAACAAAAACAATAACTAAAATAACAATAAAAGCTATAAATATACAGTGGAAACCGAAATTTAAAAAGAAAAGTCACAGTAAAACATAATCGATGCTGTCAACAAGGAAAGAAATGTTAGATCCTTTGGTAGTGAATCCATAAGTAGCTCTCAAAGCAGCTTCTCTGTATTGTAACATCCCAGACCACCCTGGCATGTATGCATGTACTTTTTCATCCTGCTGTCTTCCAATGATGGTTCTCCACATTTCCGCTTCCCGAACTTAGATAACTTTTTCTGGGTTTGATTTGTTGTTTCTGTTTCTATATTTCTGTAGCTAAAAATTTTTTTTTTACCCCCCTAAAAAAATATGTTACATGTGTGCGTCTCTAAAGAGGCGAGACAGAAAATCTAATCCAGCAAGTATGTGACCTAGATGAGATCAGTCACGGAAAAAAAGACAGATACACCAGTAGACTTGCATGTCTTGTCTAAGGTTGTCATAATACTAGGGAGGTACTGCAGGAATCAGATATCTGCAGGAATCATTTATCTGTAGGAATCGGATATCTGCAGGAATCGGATATCTGCAGGAATCAGATATCTGCCACTGTAGACGCCGATATTAGGGTGCTGACTGATCAGTTTTCATGCCCAAAAGACATCGCCATTTACACAGATGGGTCCGTGAAACATAGTTCAAAATGGGCATACACAGCACAAAGGATGGGACAAACAATAAAAGAGGATAGCTGCGCTTACCGGATGACTACATTAAGCATGACCATGGAGATAGCTGCTGCTACCAGAGCACTCGCGTGGGTAGCAGAACAAGTAGCAACACATGTGGTAATCGTTTCAGTCTCTATAAACATGTTTCAAAAAATCGCTAGAGGCTGCTCGGAATGGGTAGAAAGCATTCGGAAGTCACAGTTAACCTCTATCATCTGGATTTACACATCTGGGCATGCAAGAGTTTATGGTAATGAAACAGCTGACCAGCTGGCAAGTCACCAATACAAATGGGAAGAAGCATAGACAAAGCTGATATCATCAACGCTGTACAGACTAGGTTAGAGGATAATGGTGAATCTCTGATGCTAACATGGTTGTGTGACCGAAGAGTTAAGCCTAGTGAAGCATGACTAAGCAGTCTTCAAAGACAGGAGATATTATAACCAACTTCTCATGAGAACAATCAGTAGAGGTACCTTGGAGTGGCTGCTGCATAGGAGGACTGGGCACGCATGTGGATGCCCAATGTACAAAGACGTCGACTGTGATAACATAACAATTTTGTTTGTAACTAAAGTGGATTTTCCTCCAGCTGTGAATTTCCCTACAGTTGTAACTGAAGCATATCTCCCTATAGCCGTAACTGAAGTGCATCTCCCTATAGCTGTAACTGAAATGCATCTCCCTATAGCCGTAACTGAAGTGCATCTCCCTATAGCTGTAACTGAAATGCATCTCCCTATAGCTGTAACTGAAATGCATCTCCCTATAGCCGTAACTGAAGTGCATCTCCCTATAGCTGTAACTGAAGTGCATCTCCCTATAGCTGTAACTAAAATGCATCTCCCTATAGTTATAACTGAAGTGCATCTCCCTATAGCTGTAACTCAAATGCATCTCCCTATAGCCGTAACTGAAGTGCATCTCCCTATAGCTGTAACTGAAGTGCATCTCCCTATAGCTGTAACTAAAATGCATCTCCCTATAGTTGTAACTGAAGTGCATCTCCCTATAGCTGTAATTGAAATGCATCTCCCTATAGCTGTAACTGAAGTGCATCTCCCTATAGCTGTAACTGAATGCATCTCCCTATAGCTGTAACTGAAATGCATCTCCATCTCCCTATAGCTGTTAACTGAAATGCAACTCCCTATAGCCGTAACTGAAGTGCACCTCCCTATAGCTGTAACTGAATGCATCTCCCTATAGCTGTAACTGAAATGCATCTCCATCTCCCTATAGCTGTAACTGAAATGCATCTCCCTATAGCTGTAACTGAAATGCATCTCCCTATAGCTGTAACTGAAGTGCATCTCCCTATAGCTGTAACTGAAGTGCATCTCCCTATAGCTGTAACTGAGGTGCATCTCCTTATAGCTGTAACTGAAGTGCATCTCCCTATAGCTGTAACTGAAGTGCATCTCCCTATAGCTGTAACTGAAGTGCATCTCTCTATAGCTGTAACTGAAGTGCATCTCCCTATAGCTCTAACTGAAATGCATCTCCCTATAGCTGTAACTGGTGCAACTGCCTATGGCTGTAACTGAGGTGCATCTCCCTACAGCTGTAATGGTAGTGCACCTCCTTACAGATGGAGTGAATCTCCCAATAGCTGTATCCGATGGTCATATTCTTATACTTGTAAAATAAAAGCCATCATGATACAGCCGAGTAGGACATGAAGACTTTTGCCTCACTACAGTAAGTGAAGATACAGTAAGTGTTCACGTTCTTCAGCCCATCTACACACTTTCGCAATCTGATCTAGGTCAGAGTGGTGTCACGTTGTACTGCTTTCTTTGAAAAGAATCTCTCGTGTGAACTATGCCCAGGCTGTAGGAAGGGGGGGGGGGGGGGGGGGGGGGGGGGGGGGGTTAGGGCTAGTTCTAGATGTTCTGGGATTGTTGAAGGCTGTGTTATGTAGCATACAGCACGCGACATAGGCGCTGATGTAACTGGAGGCAAGACAACTTGACACCCCTCTGACGTAGAAGAATTTGGGAAAGTATAAATAAAAGGTCAGACAGTGTGTAAAGAGGACCAACTAAAAAGTGACTACGATATTATATAGTTTCAAACCAGTCAAAAGGCAAATTAACTAAAATTGACTATTATATGGATACAAACCAGTCAAATAGTGATTTAACTACCAAGCAACTCTGATAGTGAATGGTTACAAACTTGTCAAATGGTGAATTAACTACAGAATAACTTTGGTAGCGAATGGATACAAACTTGTCAAATGGTGAATTAACTACAGAATAACTTTGGTAGTGAATGGTTACAAACTAGTCAAATGATGAATTAACTACAGAATAACTCTGATAGTGAATGTATACAAACTTGTCAAATGGTGAATTAACTACAGAATAACTCTGATAGCGAATGGATTCAAACTTGTCAAATGGTGAATTAACTATAGAATAACTCTGATAGTGAATGGTTACAAGCTAGTCAAATGATGAATTAACTACAGAATAACTCTGATAGCGAATGGATACAAACTTGTCAAATGGTGAATTAACTACAGAATAACTCTGATAGTGAATGGATACAAACTTGTCAAATGGTGAATTAACTACAGAATAACTCTGATAGCGAATGGATACAAACTTGTCAAATGGTGAATTAACTACAGAATAACTTTGGTAGTGAATAGTTACAAACCAGTCAAATGGTGAATTAACTACCGAGTAACTCTGATAGCAATTGGTTACAAACTAGTCAAAAGGTGAATTAACTACAGAACTCACCGATAGCCAACCGCAAGTACACCAACAATGACGAGAATCAGAATCCCACACACAATCCCGGCGATGACCCCTGGGTGAACTCCTGATTGCACTGGTTTTCCTTCCATCGCTTTTGGATTTCAAACAAGAAAAAAATATGTTAGAGAATTTTCAATGTAATTATCTACAATGGATATTTGCAAAAATGAATAAGGTCCTTTGGTCCTTCTTCTGGCAACTGCATAATCTGATGACCAGTTGTCAGGCAAGTCATCCGGAACATCCTGAGTCCCACAAATATTTACATATTGCCAGCCCTCACCTCACAGTAGTTGGAGACTTTAACTCTTTTGGTCCCATAACATTTGTACCAATATAATTATGTTTCATTAAATACTGCTGAGAAAACTCTAACCACTTGTTGTGTTGTAGAATTAAAAAATTAATGAAAGATACACCAGTGGTTGCCAGATTTTTTATTATACATTGACCAAAACTTAAATACAAGAAGACCCCTGATGTATGTGATGTTTGAGACTTGTGGGATAGTGAATAACATCATGCAATGTTTGGGACTGAAAGAGTTAAGAAGTCCCTCACATAGTTTTTGTTTTAACCAGCTTAATCAAAGACATAATGTGGCTGAAATAATCTGTTCCTTCCTTTCATCTCCAAATGGAGTACAGGTCTTTAACTAATTCAGGCCAAGCAGTTTGTAGACTTGTTTATGACTGGTTGGATTTTGCAGATATGGAATGGTAGCTCACTGGTTAAATTTCAGCCCTTCTTAATCACTTCTTATTACAAACATGGAACATTAGAGTGCTACCATTCTTTGCCCTAGAGGCTACAGTGCTACTGTTCTTTGTTCTAGAGGCTACAGTGCTACCATTTTTTGTCCGGGACACTTCAGTGCTACCGTTCTTTGTCCTGTAGGCCAAATGACATAGTTCTTTTGTCTTTGAGGCTATAGTACTACAGTTCTTTGTCCTGGTGGTTAGAGTGTTACTGTTCTTTGTAATGGAGGCTACACTGTTACTTTTCTGTGTCATGGAGGCTACAGTGTTACTTTTCTTTGTCATGGAGGCTACAGTGTAACCAGTCTTCTGTGAAGTATTTTAACATCCCTTGATGGGTTATCTAAAACATCACTTCAATGGATTATCTAAAACATCACCTTAATTGTGTATTCAGAACATCACCTTAATGGTCTACCTAAAACATCATCTTAATGGTCTATCCAAAACATCACCTGTATGGTCTATTCAAAACATCACCTTTAATGGTCTATCCAAAACATCATCCTAATGGTCTATCCAAAACATCATCTTAATGGTCTATCCAAAACATCACCTGTATGGTCTATCCAAGACATCACCTTAATGGTCAATCCAAGACATCACCTTAATGGTCTATCCAAGACATCATCTTAATGGTCTATCCAAGACATCACCTTAATGGTCTATCCAAGACATCACCTTAATGGTCTATCCAAGACATCACCTGTATGGTCTATCCAAAACATCACCTTTAATGGTCTATCCAAGACATCACATTAATGGTCTATCCAAAACATCACTTTTAATGGTCTATCCAAGACATCATCTTAATGGTCTATCCAAGACATCACCTTAATGGTCTATCCAAAACATCACCTTAATGGTCTATCCAAAACATCACCTTAATGGTCTATCCAAGACATCACCTTAATGGTCTATCCAAGACATCACCTTAATGGTCTATCCAAAACATCATCTTAATGGTCTATCCAAGACATCACCTTAATGGTCTATCTAAGACATCACCTTTAATGGTCTATCCAAGACATCACCTTTAATGGTCTATCCAAAACATCACATTAATGGTCTATCCAAGACATCACCTTAATGGTCTATCCAAAACATCACCTTAATGGTCTATCCAAGACATCACCTTTAATGGTCTCATCACCTTTAATGGTCTATCTAAAACATCACCTTAATGGTCTATCCAAGACATCACCTTTAATGGTCTATCCAAAACATCACCTTTAATGGTCTATCCAAGACATCACCTTAATGGTCTATCCAAGACATCACCTTAATGGTCTATCCAAGACATCACCTTAATGGTCTATCCAAGACATCACCTCAATGGTCTATCCAAGACATCACCTTAATGGTCTATCCAAGACATCACTTTAATGGTCTATCCAAAACAACACCTTAATGGTCTATCCAAGACATCACCTTAATGGTCTATCCAAAACATCACTTTTATTGGTCTATCCAAGACATCATCTTAATGGTCTATCCAAGACATCACCTTAATGGTCTATCCAAGACATCACCTTAATGGTCTATCCAAAACATCACCTTAATGGTCTATCCAAGACATCACCTTAATGGTCTATCCAAGACATCACTTTAATGGTCTATCCAAGACATCACCTGTATGGTCTATCCAAAACATCACCTTAATGGTCTATCCAAGACATCACCTTAATGGTCTATCCAAGACATCATCTTAATGGTCTATCCAAGACATCACCTTAATGGTCTATCCAAAACATCACCTTAATGGTCTATCCAAAACATCACCTTTAATGGTCTATCCAAGACATCACCTGTATGGTCTATCCAAGACATCACCTGTATGGTCTATCCAAAACATCACCTTTAATGGTCTATCCAAGACATCACCTTAATGGTCTATCCAAGACATCACCTTAATGGTCTATCCAAGACATCACTTTAATGGTCTATCCAAAACATCACCTTAATGGTCTATCCAAGACATCACCTTAATGGTCTATCCAAGACATCACCTTAATGGTCTATCCAAGACATCACCTTTAATGGTCTATCCAAAACATCACCTTAATGGTCTATCCAAGACATCACCTTAATGGTCTATCCAAGACATCACCTTTAATGGTCTATCCAAAACATCACCTTAATGGTCTATCCAAGACATCACCTTAATGGTCTATCCAAGACATCACCTTAATGGTCTATCCAAAACATCACCTTAATGGTCTATCCAAGACATCACCTTTAATGGTCTATCCAAGACATCACCTTAATGGTCTATCCAAGACATCACCTTAATGGTCTATCCAAAACATCACCTTAATGGTCTATCCAAGACATCACCTTAATGGTCTATCCAAGACATCACCTTAATGGTCTATCCAAGACATCACCTGTATGGTCTATCCAAAACATCACCTTTAATGGTCTATCCAAAACATCATCTTAATGGTCTATCCAAAACATCACCTAACTAACATGGTTTACTTTTACATCCCTTATATGCTACAGTAGCAGACTTGCAGTTACGCTGGTAGTCAGTCTAAGATAAACCTGTCATATTTTTCTGATACATCATTGTGAAGATCTACAAAAATCAGCACTGACATCAAGATTTTCTTATATTCTTCAACTTTTCTGTAAGAAACTTATATCAGCAGCCTTGATGGAAGCTATCGTGCAGTCTAAATCTACCTGTGTCCATACAACTTTTGTCTTGACAGAGGTCAGATGGCTTCTCTGTTAACAGCAAACAGTTGACAGTGTTGGATGGAGTACATGCTCAGTATTTTCAGGTGCCAAGTTGCAGGGGCACATCTCCGTGTTTCCTTCACAGATAAATGTGAACAAAAGAACATGTACAAAAACACTGAAACAGATAAAATATGCTTACCATTGCTGCCGACATCCCAGATTACCTTGTTTCTTTCATCATAATCTGAAATAAGATGGTGACAATTAATATCAATCTACAAAAAGCTAGCACACCAGCGAAAGATTTCATTTAAATCATTATCGGACTCATAGAATGATACCTTTGTCTACCAAAGATATCTAATAAGTGGGCTAAAAAATGAACTATAAAATGATATATAAGTGAACGATAAAATGATATATAAGTGAACTATAAAATGATATATAAGCGAACTATAAAATGATATACAAGTGAACTACAAAATGATACATAAGTGAACTACAAAATGATACATAAGTGAACTACAAAATGATATACAAGTGAACTACAAAATGATACATTAGTGAACAATAAAATGTAACAGTGTCACACGTGCACATTTACTACAACAAATAGGTGCAAAATTATACTTCTTCTTCTTCTTTGTTCACTGGCAGAAAGTCCTGGTTGTTCGTCCTTGTGGACTTTGGCTCAATACCAGGCCATAGTTGTATACATCCATTTTACTGGCTTATTTGCGTGCAGTCGGTTGTTCTGTGGTGCTCAGGCAGGTGCACTTCAACTTCGAAGGAAGCCCCAAATCAGTCGACTCTTAGGACATGCTTATTGGGGTGGCACTGGGTCTGTTCTTGTTTTCCCTTCAAGGGAACAGGAACCCACATGGTGACAAAATTATACCAAAAAAAGAGAAGATTCTTAACAGACCTATTGAAAAAACAAGAAGAGATAAAGCTAGACATGAAGAAATTAGAATACCAGGACTGAAAAGAGTCATACAATTCATCTAAGAGCAACAGATGAAGAATGCCCTGGTACCAACTGCCACAGACAGCTGCGCTGAAGAAAAGCAATTAATACAAAGCAAGGCGAAGACAATTCCAAAACATAGAATGATAGTATCAAGAACAACCTAAAAGAAATGAAAATCAGCTTATGCAAAGTATTAGAAAAAGACCATAGAAGATCCTTACAGAGGATTCTTCAATGCTTCAGTGAGGTAACTGAAGGAAGTGAAGAAGAGATAATTTATTCTTCCCATCTTGCCAGGTGGTTAAAAGCAGAAAACTGTGATGTTTGTTTTAAATTTTTAGCTACAAACTATTTAAATTATACTGCTTTAAAGCTGCATATTTAATCTCCCATCTGTTCTTCCAGGGTAATTTATATATTTTATTCTGCTGGTAATTAGTGAAAATTCTATAAATATACTCGAACCTTTGGTAAGGTTTAGGTTTTAGATTTAAACAACCGATCAACATCATGGAACAGGGGTAGTAACCCATAAGTGCTCCAATTTACTTCTAACTCAAACCTGAGTCTGAAGAATCTCAGCGCAGTGCACAAACTTTGTAGCACCAGCAAGGATCCTGAAATACTTTGGTTAGATTTTTAACTCAAAATTCCCTCGAGCAGCGCCATTAGACTACTTTAGATTTCCAACTGTAAATTGATTTTTTTTTACCTGTGCAACAATACGCACTGGCATCTGATCTTACTACCCAGAGACCAGGGGAAATTACTAGAAGTCCAAGTGAAAAAAAAAAACATTCTTCACCGGGGGCCTGAACCCAGGATGTCCAGCACTCGAGGAGGATGTCATGCCTCGAGACCGCTCAGCCTTCCAGTATAGCCTCAGGATAGAGGAGCTGTAACAGCGTAGTGGCTAGAGAATCAATTGACTGCCAGCCTGAGGACTAAGGTTGAAATCCACATTAAGGGGGAATTCCCCCCCCCCCCCCCCCCCCCCACCCCAATACTGTGTCTCCTGAGTTGACCCAGCCAAAATGTAAACCAGCTAATCTTCTGGAAAGTTACAGTGGTCGACTTGATCTGTCGATCAGTCTATAAACATACGATTTCAGACTATGTACCTGATGTGCCACAAGTGTGAAAAGGGTGCTTTACTACTTTTTACCTGTGATAGAGAAATACTTTAGTATTGTTTTGTTTTAAACTAATCTTTCAGTTTGAATCTGTACCTATGTGAATTCCAGGCCTCCATTGGCGGGGTAGGGAGACAGAGAAATCAACTGCCCATTTCACAAAGCATCTAATCCAAGATTTGCCGAAATCAAACCCGTTGCGCTTAAAGGTGCAACTATTACAATCTAGTTGTAAACCACAACACAATGGGCCAGCCACCTTTTTAAGGATGAATCAAAGAAGAAAAATAAATCTACAGCTAGTCAGCTTCCCAATAAAACACAATCACAAATGAGAAAGGATTACGGCAAAGTACATAAACAATATAAGATAAGATCAAGACAAAGATGTAGCAAAAGGGTAACAAACGTTGAGTGGTAAAAAAGGCTCACAAACCTCCAAGCGTAAATATGGATGTATCCGTGAAATCCCCAACCCATTTGTTGTTGCTGAAAATAGCATTGGTGATGGCAGCCACTTTCACGTGGTAGCGAGAGTTTGAAATCAAATTAGCCAGCACATGCTGAAAAAATTAACAAATTTGGTAGTTTTTTTTTTTTAACACAATGAAGTTCTTAAGTCATAGCTCCTGATTTACCAAACAAACATGAAGTCCAGCAACTTCAAAACTAAATAACAAAGTTCTTTAATTTTGTCTTATTTTTTATTTGCGTCCAAGGACTGGTATGATGTATCGCAGTCCACTGGTAAAACTCTCTGTCACTGGCCAATTATACTGCTATGTGTATTGTGTACCCAAGGTGTCAATGATGTTCTGCGTCCATCTTTGTCCTGATCAACTCAGTCAGTTATTTTCAAGTCATTGCTTTATAAAGGTCTGATCGATTTCAAGGCTGATGAATATGTCATTCAACAAATATAATAGCAATGATAATAAGAATAGTTAAAAATGTAAAAATAATATGTCATATGAAAGACGTCAACAGCAGAGAATGGAGAGTGAGAAGCAACAATGAAATTAATAATCAGTTTATATCACCGCTAATTACTGCCATATGAAAGACGTCAACAGCAGAGAATGGAGAGTGAGACGTAACAATGAAATTCATAATCAGTTTATATCACCGCTAATTACTAGTATCATTGGACTAATAGTCTGGAATGAGACTGACCAAAAAGACAAGAGGGGAGATAATATACAGGCAGAACTACAAATGCCTGCAGTCACAAATAAAAATACAATTACAGAGACGAATGGAGGCAAGTGATATCTGCAACAGTGAACCTGAAAGAATTGGAATGCTGAAGAAGAGAAGAAGAAAATCAATGTGTGGAGAGAGATCAGTACATCAACTCACACATTCACCTGGACAACAGAAGCTGTGAAGAAGCATGATCACTTATGTTAGCAAGAGAATTATTTATGAAGATGATGACCGTCAGGTGCAAATTACGGGCTGAATTCCACCAATACTAATTTATGTAAATGCTATGTAAGAAGTTGTTGTGTATTGTTATCTTATTGTTAGATTAGCTCCGAGGACAATTCGCAGCAAAGCAGTTGAATTCCAGAAGAAATACTGACTCTAGATGCTATAGTAAATAACATTCATCGTCGTGTATGCCATATGCCGGAAATATTAATGTAAGGTACCAAGTTGCGTATCAGCGTTTCTGCTAGATTTATCTAAAGTAATTGCATTTTTCTTGCATATCCAAATTTCTGCTGGATATAATACGTGGTAGAATTGTTATAAAGTAATCACATTTTTCATGCATGTCAGCAATTCTGCTAGATATAAGACATTGTTGAATCATTTTAGAGTTTTCAAGGTCAGGACAATGATCCTAAAACTGTGGATGTATGTGAATCCAATCTTTTTAGAAAGCTACAAGGAGAACGACAGGACTGATTTGGTTCACATTGAATTTTGGCGAGTTCACTTTTCGTTGTTCAGTTTTCACACCTCATCAGAATGGAATATATAATACACTGATGGTACGTTCGGCACACGGTCTTGTCAAATTGAATAACATTATTATTTCTTTAAGTTGATTGTTATCTGTTGCACCAGTTATTCCTGGTGGCATTTTGGGCATTTGAGATTGTTCCCGCCGCATCTTTCCCCACCATTCACATTACAAAATCATACCTGTTATAACCTTAGACTAAGTTTTTGGATTCTGCTGTTATTTCCACAATGTGTTGACTTGGTATTCAAACTTATCACCACATCACAACTGAAGACTTGCCTCACACATTATCATGGAAAGCTACACACTTTAATGATGAGGGGTTATGATGATAGTGATGATGATACTTCAAGGAAAGCTGACTCAATATTTAAAAACAACAGAAAAAATACCTTGGTAGTTTCACCTTTGACCAATTCATTGACATCATTGCCGCGATGATCAAAGCCTTTAATGAGGTAGTTGTCGATGGTCTTGTAGTAGACCAGCGGTGGATCCCAGGACAGATGCACTGAGTTCAGATCCAGCTCTGTGACATTTAGATTTCTTGGTGGCCCGGGAGCTGTCAATAAGCAACATGTTTTTGTTTCAGAAACAACTCTTTCTGTCACAAACAACGCACTTTGCATGACTGGGTATTATTAACATCTACAAATCAAAATGTTATGGATGTTCTGATATCTTGTGTTTAGTGAGCGACTTTGAAGAACTCTGACAATATATTTGATTATTGTAAGGGTTGTATATTTGGCCCCTCTGAGAGTAGTATACCGATGAGTTTTGTATTGCCATTCATAATTTCCTCAGACATTAACTAGGGCCTTGTGGGACTGACAGATTTAATGGAGAAAAAAATGGAGAAACAATGGGGGAGGGGGACAGGAAGAGATGAATACCTTTAACAAAAAAGAATGTTTTATTTAAGAAAATGAAGAAATTAAACTAACTGGTCATAACATGTCTACGACAAAACCTAGACAAATTCTGAGAAATTAACAGATACAAATGTGTGTCTATGACTGCAACAGAGGGTGGCTGTGTTGAATGTGTGTCTATGACTGCAACAGAGGGTGGCTGTGGTGAATGTGTGTCTATGACTGCAACAGAGGGTGGCTGTGTTGAATGTGTGTCTATGACTGCAACAGAGGGTGGCTGTGGTGAATGCGTGTCTATGACTGAAGCAGACGGTGGCTGTGTTGAATGTGTGTCTATGACTGCAACAGAGGGTGGCTGTGGTAAATGTGTGTCTATGACTGAAGCAGACGGTGGCTGTGGTGAATGTGTGTCTATGACTGAAACAGAGGGTGGCTGTGGTGAATGTGTGTCTATGACTGCAACAGAGGGTGGCTGTGGTGAATGTGTGTCTATGACTGAAACAGAGGGTGGCTGTGGTAAATGTGTGTCTATGACTGCAACAGAGGGTGGCTGTGGTGAATGTGTGTCTATGACTGAAACAGAGGGTGGCTGTGGTAAATGTGTGTCTATGACTGCAACAGAGGGTGGCTGTGGTGAATGTGTGTCTATGACTGCAACAGAGGGTGGCTGTGGTGAATGTGTGTCTATGACTGCAACAGAGGGTGGCTGTGGTAAATGTGTGTCTATGACTGCAACAGAGGGTGGCTGTGGTAAATGTGTGTCTATGACTGCAAACAGAGGGTGGCTGTGGTGAATATGTGCAGCCACAAGTGTGTTTAAGACTATTCGGCAGTGAAGCCTAAATAAACTCCTCCACAATGCGACCCTTAATCTACTGTCTGAAAGTCAGGCAAACAGGCATGGTCTTTATCTAAACTGTCCAACTGGGAAATCTAGATCTGGTATGTCAAGGAAAATGTCACTGTAAATTTGTGTTCACTAACCTCTAAGCTAAGGAGAAAGAGAAATCAGTTAAACTAATAGAAAATGAGGGATTAATAACAGGACATCATAAACTAGGATATAAACTGGGGTAATCATTATCAGAGACAGGTTTTATCAAAGACTGAATTAAACAAGTAATGTATGAAAATAATTTTAACTAAGACTAGAATATAAAGAAATAATGAAAAGAAAGCTGAGAATGGTAAATCCAGGTGGAGAGTAACAACTGAGTCAATAGTAAAGACAAATGCTGGAGAAATAACTCAGAGATTCAATATCAATAGCCATTCTGAGTAGCATTTTCATTCACAAAAATATGTCCTCTGATAACATAATCTAACAACCCCCCCCCCCCCACCACCCACCCTCAATACTACAATCATCTACTCTGCCACTTGCCTAAACTAGCAAACCAGCCTGCATTTGATCCCCCCAGCTGGTCTGTTTCCGACATGCCTAATCCTCCAGGTTTTCCCTATAATCTTCAGATTATCCCATCTCATAACGTGACCACAAACAACATCTTGTCTTGTAATGCAGGTAATTATCTTAGTACAGTAGCACTGAGCAGTACCGCCTGGTCAAATTCAACACTTAATGATGCCACATTTTTGAAAATCTATGCTTCACTGGAAGGTGAAAGGTTAAAGGAGGAGGAGGCAGAGGAGGACCAGAAGATGGAGGACGGAAAAGAAGAAGATTTAAAAAAAAAAAATAGGAAGAAGATAAAGTGAAGGAAAATAAGAAGATGGAAGGAGGAAGAAGAGGAGGAAGAAAGAAGAAGAAAGAAAGAAAGAAGAAGAAGAAGAAGGAAGAAGAAGAAAGAAGAAGAAAGAAGAAGAAGAAGAAGAAGAAGAAGAAGAAGAAGAAGAAGAAGAAGAAAGAAGAAGAAGAAGAAGAAGAAAGAAGAAGAAGAAGAAGAAGAAGAAAGAAGAAGAAGAAAGAAGAAAGAAAGAAGAAGAAGAAGAAGAAGGAAGAAAGAAGAAGAAGAAGAAGAAGAAGAAGAAGAAGAAAAGAGAAGAAGAAGAAGAAGAGAAGAAGAAGAAGAAGAAGAAGAAGAAGGAAGAAGAAGGAGAAGAAGAAGAAGAAGAAGAAGAAGAAGATAGAAGAAGAAGAAAGAAGAAGAAGAAGAAGAAGAAGAAGAAGAAGGAAGAAGAAGAAGAAGAAAAGAAGAAAGAAAGAGAAGAAGAAGAAGAAGAAGAAGAAGAAGAAGAAGAAGAAGAAGAAAGAAGAAGAGAAGAAAGAGAAGAAGAAGAAGAAGAAGAAGAAGAAGAAGAAGAAGAAGAAGAGAAAGAAGAAGAGAAGAAGAAGAGAAGAAGAAGAAGAAGAAGAAGAAGAAGAAGAAAAGAAGAAAGAAGAAAGAAAGAAAGAGAAGAAGAAAGAAGAAGAAGAAGAAGAAGAAGAAGAAGAAGAAGGAGAAGAAGAAGGAAGGAAGAAGAAGGAGGAAGAAAGAGAAGAAGAAGAAGAAGAAGAAGAAGAAGAAGGAGAAAGAGAAGAAGGAAGAAAAGAGAAGAAGAAGAAGAAGAAGGAAGAAAGAAGAAGAAGAAGGAAGAAGAAGAAGAAGAAGAAGAAGAAGAAGAAGAAGAAGAAGAAGAAGAAGAAGAAGAAGAAGAAGAAGAAGAAGAAGAAGAAGAAGAAGAAGAAGAAGAAGAAGAAGAAGAAGAACAACAAGAAGAAGAAGAAGAAAGAAGAAGAAGAAGACAACAACAAAACAACAACAACAACAACAACAACAACAACAACAACAACAACAACAACAACAACAACAACAACAAGTGGAGGAGGAGAAGAAGAAGACTTGTAGGATAAAGATGAATACGATATGAATATTCTCTGACCTGCCACATCAGTCAGAGCTGGAAACTGGTCACTAAACTCTCCCCTGCCTCCGTTGGTCACAGCGGCCACCTGGACCTTGTACTCTGTGTAAGGTGCTACCAGATCAAGAGAAACTATAAATTTTTACAGCCAAGTGGGCAAATGAAATCTATTTTACAGTATGCACAAAATTTATATCATAATGTAACTAGAAACATAAAAGAAAACTATACTGCTGTAGAAGCCTGAAGTCTCAAAGGAAGAGGGGGAAGGGGGAAAGAAAGAAGGAGAGAGTACTTAATTATGACTACTTAAACAGCTAGAAATGTTGGCACCTTTCCAACTTTCCATGCGGCAGTGTTATACCTTGCTATAGGGAGGCACTGAAAGTCACAGCCCACCGCAGTGGCGAGTGTGACTAGCAAGACCCACTAACAATAACAAGTCCTCCACAACTACCTCATAGGATTTCAGGACAATTGTTGCCATAGTATGTATTTAATTAACTTCTTCTCATACTCTTAGCTTTAAACCTCTCTGCTGTTCTTGATGCTGTCATTTCAACTTCTACATGGTCTTTCCTTTGCTCTGTATCCACCGTATTTCCTCAGTGTGACTCTCTGTCACAGTTAGTACCAGGGCATTCTCGTCAGATGGCCAAATCTCATCTTTGCTCTGCAATAACCTGTATGACTATCATGATTAAGCCATTCTGACTGAATTGTTTAGCCTTTTTCCTCAGACTTATAAACTCTTATTTCAACTCGTTCAGACTCAAACATTAAAGATTTTCATGTAGAACTCCATAAGGTAGAGTAAGTTACATAACAACTGCGAAGGATAGTAAAGTAAAAGACTCTTTTCCACGCCTCTCAGGTGTATTGGGTATATAGGGCTAGACCTATATTTTATAGACCAAGCGGCACTTGGTGGGTGATGTGGTCAGCATCATGCCGGCTGCCTTTACTTCCCAGGACTGTACCTGATACCCACTCAAGGATGGGTCAACCTGGGAGCCAAGATCATTTTTGAAAAAAAAATATTGCCCTCGTCAGGAACCGAACCTACCACCTTCTGATCCGCAGGCAAGCGTCTAGCAGCTAGATCACAGAGGCTACCAGCTGCACAGAATAGGAACATTAATTGAGATCAAATGTTTAAAAACAGACAGACGTACTCAGGTCTGAAACATATGCAGTCATGGTGCTGATGAGATGTCCTGCAATACGTCTGGACTTCACATCCTGGTCGTGGATCCACTGGAGCTCATACTTGATCAATTTGCCGTTGATTTCTCGGGGCGGTTCCCAGTTGACGTAGAAGGAGGTTGCCTGGTGGTTGCTGATGTGTGTGATTCTAGGCTTGGATGGCACTGTGGAGGGTGGTTATATGAAAGGTGTCATGTGTGATCTCACTGGCAAATATGTCATAGCTGATGGAAGAATGCTGAGGTAGAAAGTTAATGAAAGAATTTTCAGGCAGAAAGTTAGGAGAAGAATGTTGATGCAGAAAGTTAAGAGAAGAATGTTGAGGCAAAAAGTTAATGAAAGAATTTTGAGGCAAAAAGTTAATGAAATAATTTTGAGGCAGAAAGTTAATGAAAGAATGTTGAGGCAGAAAGTTAATGAAGAATGTTGAGGCAGAAAGTTAATGAAAGAATGTTGAGGCAGAAAGTTAATGAAAGAATTTTGAGGCAGAAAGTTAATGAAAGAATGTTGAGGCAGAAAGTTAAAGGAAGAATGATGTTGAGGCAGAAAGTTATGGGAAGAATGCTGAAGCAGAAAGTTGATGGAAGATTGCTGGGTAGAAATTTGATGGGAAAATGTTGCTGTAAAAGGTGAATGGGAAAGACTGGGTAGAAAGTTTATGGAGGGATGCTGGGGTAAAAGGCATAAAAGAATGTTGATGTAAGTTGATGGAAGAATGTTTGGTAAGAAGGTGAAGGGGAGATTGTGACGTAGAAGACAGAGGGAAGAATGTTTGGGTAGACAGTTTATGGAAGAATGTTGTGGCAGAAAGCTGAGAATGATGGATGAATGCTGGGAAAGGGAAAACTTGCACACCATCATATTTCTTACACACATGAATTTATACACACAGACACATATGAATACACATGCGCGCATGCACACACATATATATATAAATGGGGTTTTTTTTTTAACCATTTTTAAAAAACTGTGACACAGAAAGTGTACCGTTTAACCTGATATCATATTTCAAATTTTGAATAAGAACTCGAAATTGCTGAAAACCTGGTGAAAACTTTTACAACTGGCCGAAATGAAAGTCTAAGGACAAGACAGTTTCATCTCAGAATATCCTTTTATCCCAGTCACCAAAAGTATAAATATATAAAGTAGTTCAATTGATAACAAAAACAAAAGTGTTACACACAACTTACATCCTTCTTTGGTTTCCACACCCATTGCTGCTTCAGGGCCAATGCCTGCGCTGTTTTTAGCTTTGATGGACACCATGTATAAGGTATAGGGTTCGAGTCCTTGCAGCATTGTGCTCTGTATGCAAGAAGAAAACGATCAAAGATATTTGCTTAGAATTATCAATTGGTTATTATCATGGTCAGTGATCACTGAGAGTTGTATCAAAACTGCCATATCGGTGGATAATTTCAGCTCCAATGATCACTGAGAGATGTATCAAGACTGCCATATCGGTGGATAATTTCAGCTCCAATGATCACTGAGAGATGTATCAAGACTGCCATATCGGTGGATAATTTCAGCTCCAATGATCACTGAGAGATGTATCGAGACTGCCATATCGGTGGATAATTTCAGCTCCAATGATCACTGAGAGATGTATCAAGACTGCCATATCGGTGGATAATTTCAGCTCCAATGATCACTGAGAGATGTATCGAGACTGCCATATCGGTGGATAATTTCAGCTCCAACGATCACTGAGAGATGTATCAAGACTGCCATATCGGTGGATAATTTCAGCTCCAATGATCACTGAGAGATGTATCAAGACTGCCATATCGGTGGATAATTTCAGCTCCAATGATCACTGAGAGATGTATCAAGACTGCCATATCGGTGGATAATTTCAGCTGCAATGATCACTGAGAGATGTATCAAGACTGCCATATCGGTGGATAATTTCAGCTCCAATGATCACTGAGAGATGGATCAAGACTGCCATATCGGTGGATAATTTCAGCTCCAATGATCACTGAGAGATGTATCAAGACTGCCATATCGGTGGATAATTTCAGCTCCAATGATCACTGAGAGATGTATCAAGACTGCCATATCGGTGGATAATTTCAGCTCTAATGATCACTGAGAGATGTATCAAGACTGCCATATCGGTGGCTTTCTGAGCGGCTAATTTCAGCTTTTTGTCCAACAGTCAGATTTGGTGATAATGCGCAAAGTAACCTCTGGGTCACCCAGAAACCCTAGCACTGGTTTGTTTGGTTTGTCTGGACTTTCCCCTTCCCAAAAAACATTTTACACTATCTCAGCCAGGGTGGGTGAGTACTAAATCTGCATGGACTTAGCCTCTCAGTTGTTTTTCAAATGTTCACAAATCCTGTCCCTTGGGAACTTTCAATAATTTTGTTCAAGAAACTTATTGCATAGAATTTTTATTTAAAAAAACACACACAAAAAAACAACACATAACTGATATCATCAGCCACAACACATGGAGTGATATACAGATTAGATCCAAGCAGCTGGATAAAGCTGAAAAGAGGAAAGTCTTAGATGGTGCAAGCTGAAGACACAATTGGACATGTGTGCAGGCTTTTAGGTGAGGAGGAGTGACTCAAAGTGTCCGATCAGGTTTCATACTTGTGAAAGGTTCTAATCACTTTGGGATGTGAGTGCAGGGACTGGCAGCCCAGGTGATGTAATTGTCTATACAGATGGCTCCTGTGTTGAGGGGCAGACAAGTGCACAGGGGTTCATAGCGAAGGCGAATGGACGTCACCTAGTGTAGCAAAGCCTGGCATATAATATCACAACGTCTAGTTCGAAAATGGAGGTGGAAACAGTCTTTGCTGCCTTCCGCTGGCTTGAGTATCAGCTGTACACACACATGCCGTCATTGTAACTGACTCACAGATCATGTTGAAAAAGGTGTAGACAGGCATGCTTCATGCAGAGTGGCAAGCATCACTTCAGAGGTCCCGGGTAGTTAACATCCTTTGGATAATTTCTCCAGCTCACGCTGGTGTGCTGTGAAATGATCAGCCAGACAGACTGGCTAATTCTGCACCACTTGGTGGTGAACTGACGTATGACAAGCTGGATGTTGTGAGGGCCCTTTGGGAGCGAGTGAACAGTGCAGAGAACAGATTGATCATTACGGTCTGAGGAGAATGGCACCGCCAGGAGTTAAAAGAGGACCTGGTCGACGCTCAACACTCAGGGAAAAGGTGAGACAGATATACAATCAGACAGTTACTGGTACCATCGGAATTTTACCTCTTCGCTTGCTGCTGAAGATGGGGACGGAGAGCTTATGGGGGTGTCCCAAATGCTGTGATGTCTATTCTGAATTCAACATTCAACATCCAAGCAGCTATGGAACTGGTTAGTTCGGTATGCAGCAAGTATGATGTATTGAATAACTATCTATCACATCAGAAGTCAAAATTTGTCACAACACTACAATGATAAATGGAACATATTGTGACACTGTGCTAGCCACTGTGCTGCCAAGTGTGCTTATCATCATCATCATCATCATGAAGTGTCTTGCCCACTGGTGTAGGCAATCATATGTCTCAACCTCTCCAATCTTCAGCAGCATGTATCAGTTCATGTACTGACACCCTTCCATGACACAAGGCTGTCAAGACAATTCTCGTACTGACTTCCTCTCTCTCTTTTCACAATTCTTTCAAACTATCACATGTTCCAGATTATTTTTTTCTCATAATGTGCCCCCCCCCCCCCCCCCCCCCCCCCCCAATTATGACTGTCTCTTTCTGGTGTTTTCCTTTTTCTTCTTCATTGCGTTCAGCTGAAAGTTCTGGTTGTTTGTAAACTTCTGGACTGCAGTCCTTCTGTTCCGGAACCTGAGTGTTGTGTGTGCATCTGTTTGACAGATCTGACTAATATGTATGCAGACTGTTGGTTCCTTGCCTCTCAGGTAAATACACTCTGACTTCGAAGGAAGCTCCCAATTAGTCGACTCTTAAGACATGCTTTTGGGTAGGCAGTAGGTCGATTTTTGTTTTTCCTATAACAGGGCCCCGGAATCCATACAGGAAATGTTTTCCCTACAATAGGGCTCGGAACCCACACGGGGAATGTTTTCTTTAGACACTCGCTTCTTTCAAAGCGTAATAATTACCCATCCTGGCAGTCCATCTGAGCTATACTAAATACACAAGCATAAGGTTGTAGTTTCCTCTTAATTTCGTTAGAAGTAAAGGTAATGAAACAAACAGTATCAACAATTTTTTAACGACAGAAAGTAATGTGAAGCAGAGTAATGATGCCCACTTACAGTTCTGGTTGGATCGTCAATGCTCACTAGCTCAATACTGAAGATGTCTCTGCCAAACTTGATTTCAAAACCTTCTAGTTTGCCATTCAGTTGATCTGGTGGTGGGGCTTCCCACTCTAACCAAATCTCTGAACTTGTCACATTCGTCGCCCGGAAGTTGAGTGGAGCACCTGAGGGTGCTGTTGAAAAACAATACATTCTACATATCAGGCTTTAGTGCAGAAGCAGCTGATGGAAAAACAACAGATTCTATCAATTAGTTCAGTGGAGAACTTGGGAGAGTTGATGGACTATCAATCAGTTCAGTGGAGAACTTGGGAGAGTTGATGGACTATCAATCAGTTCAGTGGAGAACTTGGGAGAGTTGATGGACTATCAATCAGTTCAGTGGAGAACATGGGAGAGCTAATGGACTATCAATCAGTTCAGTGGAGAACTTGGGAGAGTTGATGGACTATCAATCAGTTCAGTGGAGAACATGGGAGAGTTGATGGACTATCAATCAGTTCAGTGGAGAACTTGGGAGAGTTGATGGATTATCAATCAGTTCAGTGGAGAACATGGGAGAGTTGATGGACTATCAATCCGTTCAGTGGAGAACATGGGAGAGTTGATGGACTATCAATCCGTTCAGTGGAGAACATGGGAGAGCTGATGGACTATCAATCAGTTCAGTGGAGAACTTGGGAGAGTTGATGGACTATTAATCAATCAGTACAGTGGAGAACATGGGAGAGTTGATTGACTATTAATCAATCATTACAGTGGAGAACTTGGGAGAGCTGATGGACTATTAATCAATCAGTTCAGTGGAGAACTTGGGAGAGTTGATGGACTATCAATCAGTTCAGTGGAGAACATGGGAGAGCTGATGGACTATCAATCAGTTCAGTGGAGAACATGGAAGAGTTGATGGACTATCAATCAGTTCAGTGGAGAACTTGGGAGAGTTGATGGAATATCAATCCGTTCAGTGGAGAACTTGGGAGAGCTGATGGACTATTAATCAATCAGTTCAGTGGAGAACATGGGAGAGTTGATGGACTATCAATCCGTTCAGTGGAGAACTTGTGAGAGCTGATGGACTATCAATCAGTTCAGTGGAGAATATGGGAGAGTTGATGGACTATTAATCAATCAGTTCAGTGGAGAACATGGGAGAGCTGATGGACTATTAATCAATCAGTTCAGTGGAGAACTTGGGAGAGTTGATGGACTATTAATCAATCAGTTCAGAGGAGAACATGGGAGAGCTGATGGACTATTAATCAATCAGTTCAGTGGAGAACTTGGGAGAGCTGATGGACTATTAATCAATCAGTTCAGTGGAGAACTTGGGAGAGTTGATGGACTATTAATCAATCAATTCAGTGGAGAACTTGGGAGAGTTGATGGACTATTAATCAATCAGTTCAGTGGAGAACATAGGAGAGTTGATGGACAATCAATCAATCAGTTCAGTGGAGAACATGGGAGAGTTGATGGACTATTAATCAATCAGTTCAGTGGAGAACTTGGGAGAGTTGATGGACTATTAATCAAAGTATAACAGAGAAGCTGGGAGCTGATGGAAACATAATTTTAATTCTAATTATGAGAGTTTAATGGAGAAGGAACTGACAGAAAACAACAGATTCTATCCATCAGAGTCTAACGGACAACATGGGAAAACTGATGGACAGTCAATTACTCACAGCATAGAGGAGAGTTAATGAAAACATACATTCTAACAACCAAGAGTTACAGTGGAGATGAGGATGATGGAAAATAACAGATTCTATCAGAGTTTAGTGGAGAACTTGAAGGAGTTAACGGAAGACTACAGATCCCAACAATTCGTCTGCTGCAAGTTTAGTGGCAGGTTTAAAGGGGAAAAATTTTTTGGCCAGCACTCATAGAAAGAAGTAGAAAGATAGAAGGACACACTAGACCACATAAATATCGAAAGATATAGTTACCATGCCAGGAATCGAACCTGTCACCTCTAAATGGTGTGTGCGCCTCGCTATGGAAACAAGCGTACTAAGAACATAGCCAAGTAGATCTTAGAGACCTGATTTTTTTTTTTTTTTAGTATCAAGATGCCATGAGTTTTTAACCCTTAGGCTTGGTATTATGGATATCATAACCTTTCGGCCTTGATTCCATTGTAAATACCGTAAATCTGGGAGAAATGTGGCTTTTCTTCCCACCCCCGGGATTGAACCCGGACCACAAGGAGTTCGTCACCCGGTCACCGCGCAGTCCGGTTTAGCCAACTACGCTAGAGAGCTGGGCTGGAGACCTGATAAAAACATACACATTAACAACCAGAGTAAAGTGGAGAGCTTAGAGACCTGATGAAAACATACATGCTAACAACCAAAGTTTAACTGAGAATCTGAAGAAGCTTGGGGGGGGGGGGGAGAAACAATTCTAACAAATAAGTATTCTGAATGCAGTATTAAAATAAACAGGAGAAAACAAATTATTCTAACAAGTGATGATTTAGTGGAGAACAGAGAGATACAAGAGACTAATGACAATTACAGATTTTTACAATCAAGGCAAAAACAACAGTCATAACAGGCAAAAACTGTTAATACAAAAGAACTGACAGGAGAAAACCAAGAAGATGTGAATAGATAACATACAGGCAGACCTAACAACATACAGGCAGACCTAACTACAGGCAGACCTAACAACACCCCCAGTCACCAATTTTAAAGAGTACGCCAATCACAGAGATGAAAGGAGGGTGATATCTGCAGCACTTAGCCTTAAGTGTTCACAGTGCTAAAGAAAAAAAAGCAGAGGAGGAGGAAGAAGATAGAATTCAGAACAATCTGGGTTTTAAGGTCTCGGAGAAGCTGAAGGAAACAAGAAATGCTAGCGAGTTTAGTGGAAACTTGAAGGAATTGATAATATGTTGTTTAGTGAAGCATTTTTGGAGGAAAAACTAATAATTAAAAGTAAACATTAGTAACAGACAATATATTCTTTACAGTTTACACCAGAAGTCGCAGGTCGACCCAGCCTAAAATGGGTACCAGGATGGGCTGTCCTGGGAAAGCAAAGACAGCCGGCGTAATGCTGGCCACATTACCCACAGAGTGCTGATGGTCTGTACAAATATGGGACGCTCTGCCCATATGCCCGATGCGCCGCAAGGTGTGAAAAGGGATCTTTACTTTTTTTTTTTACTTTTACACCAGACACTAAAACAGAAAATGTAACCAGTAAATTATGTTTCATAATTAATTATTTAGTAAATTTTGACAAATCATTATGTGCACTAGTAATATTTGTACATAAATCATCATAAATTAGTTGTGGAGAAATGAAATGCCTGAGCATTTTTTAGAAAAAAAAAACCTGCATTGTTTTCTTTTAAACAAGCTAGGAAATTAAAATATTCTAAAATGCACTAATTCTGGACTAGTATTTATTTTTTACCAATTAAATTGGTCCACTGAAGCAGATATGCATGCTATTACTATTGTGAACAAACAGGCAATAGCACAGAAGCAAAAACCTGCCTCACATTCGCTTTTTGATAGCAACATCTCCTTCACACTCTTTTACTGCAGTAAATGTGGTAATGTAAAAAAAAAAATTTTGTAAAACAAAACTGTTGCAAAAATCAGTTTTAAACAGATTTGTGAGAAATTCCTGTCCTACACTGGTAAGAGCAATCATATCTTTTAGGTCAACTCGTCAAATTTCTTTGTAACACTGTTGAATATTGTTCTTTTTAATTCTTGAACGCAACATGGATTCTCATCATGGATAATGCAGACATACAACATACAAATGGGCAGTGGAGTTGAATAACTAACATCACAGCACTCAGGGCATTCTTTTAAGTGCTTCCAAACTAAATGTTGTCAGTAAAAAAAAACACAATAAAACTTAATATCTGTATCAGTAATGATAACAAATTGAAAAATTACGATTCCAAAGAAAAAATGAATTGTTTTTTTTTTTTAAACAGAGAGAACTGCAGACTGAGATGGATAGGATGGGGAGGTTTTGGATGGGGAGGTTTTGGATGGAGTCACATCAACTGGAAAAGTATAGGGAGAACTGGTTGGCATATGCTCCACTTAGGGAACAGAGTATAAATAATCTACAAAAAACAAACCAGAGAGAAATTATAAACGTTAATAACAGATAACTAATTATTTTTTTTTTAATTTATGATAAGAGAAAGACTACAATATAAATCTAAACTTTAGCATAATTATAAACTATTTGAAATGATGATAAAATCTATAAATCCTCAAATAGTGCTAATAATCATACCAAGAAGATAAAAATTTAAACATTAGCAGGAATAATTATAAACAATATAAGCATAATTTGGGAACACTAGTCATCCCAACAACACTATAAATAATTATAAACAATAAATAACAGGAGGAAACTGTAAATATAAAAAAAAATGTTATGCGTAAAATTAAAGAAACAGTGGTTCATGACGACCCCTCTTGACCCCTTATTCTCCAGAGATGTGATGTGTCACTGTCTACTCATCAATCCCAACCAGCACACACTAAGTGTTCTTGTGCTTGTTGCATTTGGCTCGGCCATGCTAAATAAATCGGGTTCCCCAAGGACACCTTCCTTATGTGTTTAGCCTGTTGGAAAGTTGTGCATTTGTTCTACATCCCCCCCCCCCCCCCCCCCCCCCCCACTGGAATACAGGTTATTTAGTTAACTGCCTGGTACCCCATTTTATCTGTCTTATATGACTGATAAATAAACGGAGGCGGAACCTTTGAGGCCTTTAATATTATGAATTAATCAAGTAACAGAAAGTGTATTGATGGGCACTCATAGAAAGAAGTAGAAAGATAGAAGAACACACTAGACATAAAAATCGAATTGTTGCTGTGATCGTTATTCAACATTTGCTTTGTTAATATCAATTTCTGTAACCTATGGTGCCATTTTAATGGGTTGAAATGAATTTTGTCCGTATTTCATAGTTGTGAATTTCAAGTTGTACGATAGACATGGCCAATAAGACACCTTTGTTTGGGAGTGCCTAGTTGACCATGTTCTTAGTGCACTTGTATTCATGGCGAGGCGCAAACGCCGTCTGGAGGTGATAGGTTCAATTCCTGGCACGGTAACTATAGCTTTCGATTTTTATATTGTCTAGTGTGTTTATCTTTCTACTTCTTTCTATGAGTGC